GGAACAAATCAAGCGAAGGAATCCTAGGCACAGTTCTGAAGAGACGTCCTTCAATTGTTCATTTATTCAAGCAGTCACTTATGAACCAGTACTTCTGGGGGACCCCCTAGTTGGTGAGGTCCTGGACAGACAGCTGTGAGCAAGACCAAAAAGTCCCTGCCCCGTGGAGCTGGGACTTGTGGAAGGGGGCCCCACAACTACCAAGCAGACTGATGAGACAATTTGGGATGGCGAGGAGTTGCCCAAAGGATCTGAAACAGGGGGAGCGGGGGAGGGCCTCTCTGAGGAGGTGACCTTTTTGCTGGGACCTAAAAGCTGGGAGGGAGCATCAGGGGAGACCTGCAGGAAGATCATGCCACGGAGGGAGAGGCCACGGCCTAGAGGTGGCTGCAGCCGTGGAGCTGGGGACTGTGCTGGCAGGGGGAGGAATGTGGGCTCTTCCAGCCCTTCCGTTCACCGCTGGGCCACCCGGGCCAGTCAGGTGACCACTCCGGGAGAGCTCACGGTGAAATGAGGGAGTTGGCCTCCATCGGGCACAGACAGTCTGGTTCCCAGAGCGGCCTCCTCCGGCCGCCCATCCGTCTTAGGTATAAACTCAACATTCCTCACCCTGGGCTATTTTGCCATTTCCTTTCATGCTAAACCAAACGGTCTATTTTGGAAACTCCTATAAGCAAACAAAGCCCTGCCTGGCATTTGAGCGGATATAAAAGAGCCCTAAGTGAGGGACTCAGGCATAAAAGCCACCCAGCCCTGAGAGCCCACGCTGTTAAATTTAGAAGCATCACCTCCAAATGAGGTGAAATTGTAGGTTCCCTGGGCTGGCGGGCGGCGCTGGCCAGCGGTGAGCTGGACGGATTTAGCGGAGGGGGCTCGGGCTCCCTCCAGCCGCGCCTCGGGGGCGGAGGCCCAGGACGCCCGGGGCCAGTGTCTGGGGAGCAGCTGACTGGGTGACAAGCCCCTCCAGCCGTCGTGCCCCGGTTGCACTCACCAGCTGTGTCCGAGCCATCCGCCTAAGTGAGCGCTGCTCGGGGTGCCTGGCCAGAGAGAGGCAGCGAGGGACGTGCGGGGAAGACGCAGTCCTGTCTGCCATCAAAGGTTTGGGACCTGCATGACTTCTGTGCCTCTCTCCTCTGCCCAGGGGCCCAGCGAGGTCTCTGGCTTGTCTCTCATGCCCTGCAGACGGCCAGCTGTCTGGAGCTGGCCTGAGCCTCCTGAGTGTCCCTCCCCGGGGACCTCCTAGACCTGCCCACAACCTAGTGGCGAAAAGGGTGAATGCCAGCCACCGTGGGGGAGGGGGAGGAGTGGGGTCTCCAAGGTGCCCGGGCTCTGTTCTGAGGGGTCGGTGCCCCACTGAATCCCTGATTCAACATCAGGACTATGAGCCTTGGTCAGAAGTGACCAACATTCATGGGGGCTTGTCAGGAGCGACCCACTGGAGGCTCCTGAGATTCCAGGGGGCCTCAGCCTGGCCATCCCAGCCCCGGTCCACAAGAGGGGAGATCCTTTTGCAGTAAGAAACCCAACTGGGTGACATTGCAGAGGTCAACTGGTCAACCACCAGGATTAGCCCCATCAGAGCCTTGGGAGAGGGCTGCCGGTCCCACTTTTGGAGCAGCTGAGCTGACTGGGAGCTGATGCTGGTCCCAAGAGGCCCACGGGGACTTGGGCTCCCACACCCTGAAGCCCGCAGGGGATGGCGCTCGATGTTTCTTGACCACCCCCAGCTCACTGCTGGCTATGTTTCTAGCTTGGCAGGTCCCTTTCATGACCTGCTTCCATTCTGGGGCCCCCTTCTCTCCCCTTCAGCGTGGGTCTAGCTCAGGGGTGGGAGCATGTCCTCAGCTCAGCCCCTGGGGGGCAGGAGTAGCCTAGCAGGAAGCGGCCAGGCTTTTAAGGCCTGGGTCATGCTCAGGTCTGAATCCCAGCGCTGGCATCTCCTACCTGTGTGACCTTGGATGAGTCCTTTCCTCGCCTCTCTGAGCCTCGATTTCTTTATCTGTAAAATGGGGATATGAGGGGTACTTACTTCATATAATCTTGGGAGAATTAAATGAGATCTGACGCCCTTAGAGCAGATAGCAGGCAGAGTGCTGGCCACCCAGGGGTCATTCAGCACGAGCTGCAGCTCTTGTAAGTCCCGTTGCATGAGAACGTAGCCATGCTGGTCATTTACGTAATGTCTGTGGCTACTTTTGCTCTAGAACAAGAGAGCTGAGTAGTTGTGGCAAAGAGTATATGGCCTGCAAAGCCAAAAACTTTAGTATCTGGTCCCTTACAGAAAATGTTTGTCCGCCCTTGCCTTGGCGTCTGTCTAGCACTTAGTGGAAATTCCTACCCTTATCCTTCTGCTGATCTGGCACCAGGGGGGCGCAGCCTGGTCCAGGGGGGCCAGCAGCCCCAGCCTGCCAGGCCTTGTTCTCTGGGCCCATGAGGTTGTGCTGTGAATCTTCCAAGCACCAGGGAACACTCCAGCCCCACCGGCAAGTTGCTCTCTGTCCAGTGGGGGAGACAGGGAAGTCACCATTCGCCGTCCACTGTAGCTAGTGGAGCAGGGAGGGTTGGGGAAGGGCTTTCCAGCCCCCCAGCCCCTGGGCTGGTGCCAGAGTGTTCGCCCCAACCAGTGACCTTGGCGATCTCCCTCCCTGCTCCCCCCCTCATTCCCTTGCCCTGCTTGGCTGGGGGGCTCTCAAGAATTTGAGAAGGTTCCCAGTGCCACCCTGAGCTCGTACTGATAGTCGTGGGGCAAGGGTATGCTGGTAAATGTTTAACAACCTGCAGGGGGCGGGGAACCCCCAAAACCGAATCTGTAGCACCTGCCAACAGCCAGGGTGCAAATATTCCTGCCGTGGCTGATTTCAAGCTACCAATGGACGCTTGTGAGCTGGCCCAGGCTGACAGCAGCCCAGCCCAGGTGGGGACAGTGGGGACCTCCCTGTGGGGCTGGGGCATCTCCTAGAGGGGGGACGCCTGACCGCGCACAGGAAGGAGCGGTGGCATCCACAAGCCGTCACATTCAGCTTCCAAATGTGTCTCTGCCGCTTCCACGCTGGCTTCCTGGGCCAGTCTCGTCCCCTCTCTGGGCCTCAGTTCCTCGTCTGTCAGCGTAGGTCAGCAACAGCTCCTACACCTCAGGGGTTGTGGAGATTTAATAAGATAATTTCCATAAGGCATTTCGCGCAGGGTTGGCCTCACAAGGAGCGCTGGGTAGATAACGGCTCCCAACAGGGCTGGTGTTCACAGACCCACAAACAGCATGTGATGGTCCCGGGCGCTGGGGCTTGCCACACAGTGGGTGCTCAGCAAACGCTCACCAGCTTGCGCGCCCCGCCAGGGCTGGAGGGCGCTCACCGGGCTCATCTGCGTCTGCGGTCACCTCCAGAGCTGCAGCCCCGGTCAGCCAACCACACTGAGACAACCAACTCTTCCCGAGCGTCCCCTTCGCATTGTGTGCCCTCCGCACCTTGTCTCCCGGGTCCTTTTCCGACTTCCCGCTCTGCAGCTGTGACCACTGAGGCCCAGAGCCTCAGTGAGTGGCACACAGCTGGGATTTGAGCTCGGGCCTGGGTTTTTGTTTGTTTGTTTGTTTCCAGCGCTCGCCTAGGTACAGCACACACGGGGTGGGTGGGAAGACGTATGGGGGGAGGAGGAGGCCCGTGGGGGCCGCAAAGATCTGCCAGGGGGGCTTTGGGGCCTATGGCAGGGGCTGACCACATGCAAAATGCAGGATGGGACACTGGACAGATGTGGCTCGAAAGGGAACGTTATTCCAGGGGGAGAGGCCCCAGGATAAGCCAAGGCCTGGCCGCTGGACTCAGCTGGCCGGGGAAGGGATGTTGGGATGCAGGTCGAGGGAGGTGGTGCCTGGAGCTTGTTTATGGGTGTAGCTTGGGCAAGTAGGGTCCCCGGAATCCTTGGACTGACTCCAGACTGGCTGAGGAGCAGGGTATGAAACTGTAGCTGCAGAGATTTAGGTTAGATACGGAGAATTTCCGCTCACTGGGTGCTGGAAGACACTGGGCAACATTCCCAAGGGAACCTAGAGGTGGTTTGGAAAAAAGACAAGACAGCCAGGGTTCTAGGCCGGCCTCACTGCTGCCTGGGTCAGAGACGGGGCAATGGAGCCGGGGATTCTGGAGGCCTGGGATGCCTGCAGCCTGGCCTCCTGGGAGCTGGGCTTTGTCAACACCTGCTCAAAACCCTCTCGTGGCTCCCAATCACCCTGGCCCAACTGCAAGGCCAAGCCGTTCCCTGGGGTTACCAAGGCCCCCCCATGACCTGCACTCTGCTGGCCTCTCCAGCCTCGCCTGGAGTCACGCCCCAACCCACTGTACTGCTTTGTTTCTGGAAGACACCATGTCCTCTGCACCCCCAGGCCTTTGCCCATGCTGTTCCCACTGCCTCAGATACCCTTCCCTCCCCTCCCCTTCGTCTCAGCCTTTCCTTCTCAGTACTTGGTCCCCTCCTCCATGGCGAGGTCAGGTACCCCCTGGGCTCCCCTGTCACTTTGCTAGAGACTTCCTACTCTAACTGGTAGCTCATCAGCCTCCCTGCCAGACTGGGAGCCCTGGAGGTAAGGGCTTTGCCTGTGTTGCTCAGTGCCTGTCTCCAGCACTGTGTTTGGCACATAGCACTCAGTGAGGGTTTGTGGAAGGCGGGGTGGGGGTTACGGGCAGAGCGGAGTAGCAGCTGAGAGGGCGGCAGGTTTCAGGAGGAGCAGACTCCCCCCTGCTGGACAGCTCAGTATTGCTCAGGCATTAAGGACCTGAGCGCAGAGTAAGGAGACCTGGGTTCGAATCTCGCTCCTCCCACCGGCCCCAGGCAGGTTCCCTAACCTCACTGAGCGTCAGTCCTCTCCTCCGTCAGCTGGGGACGGGACCAGCCGCCCCCTCTCTGCGGCTTTTGTGAGGACCTTGGGGGCCGTGGTGGAGGGGGGCCAGCCGCGGGCAGCCCTCACCGGGTGGCCGTGCAAGGCTGACTCTCCTGTCCTCTCCCCGTAGAGGTGACGGCCATGTCGGTGAGGCTGCGGTTCCTGTCCTCTGGGGACGCGGGGGCCGTGGGGGTCGTGGGCCGGAGCGCCTCCTTCGCGGGCTTCAGCAGCGCGCAGAGCCGGAGGATCGCGTAAGTTCTGCCCCGGTGGAGGGTGCGGGGCTGGTTGGTCTTCTGCCGCCTGTGACCCCGAGGCTCGCTCTGCTGGCAGGCCTGCAGCCCAGCACCGTGCGCGTGCGCGCGGACGTACGTGTGTGACACTGGGTGCTGGGAGAAACCTGTAATTTCCTTGAGACCCGAATGGGTATCATCTCAGTTGGTCCTGTAAGTCCGCTCTGCCTGAGCTTATCAGGCCCACCTGGCAGATCAGAAAGCAGGCTGAGAGAGGTGGAGCTGCTCACCCAAGGTCACACAGCAAGCCGGGTTCGGAACTGGAACTTAGTCTCCTGGGGGCGGGGTTAGGATGGAATGTTCTTCCTGTTTGACAGGATGGGACGCGGGGCCACCTACCCCAGCTCTGTGACCTGGGGCCGGTGACTTCACCCCTGAGTCTCGGTTTCCTCATCTGAAATGGGGATCGTGAGTGTCCCTCCCCCACAGAGCTGTCATGAGAGTACAATGGGGTGACACATAGCAAGCAGCCAACACATGCTGGTACGCGGCAGGGGCTTGAGGGGAATTTTCGAAGGAAGAGGAGCAGCCTCGGCAGAGATGGGCCTGGGGTCAGTCTGGACCCTCCAGACACGAGTTCATGGCTCTCCATGTGTTCCCTCTAGCTGCAGGTAATCCCCAGGAGAAAGGTTCATTTCCACTCCTGGGGCCGCCACCTGGTCCTGGGCTTCCCATCAGGCACCGTGCAAGCCTGGGGGTGCTGTCTGCCGGCTAGCAGGCCTGTGGGGCCATCCTTCAGGCATCCTGAGGGACCCAAATATCTGCCTGTCCGAGCCAATGTGGTAACAGGCAGGACTCCCAGCCAAGCGGGGCTCCGAACCTGGTTGGTCAGGGAGTCAGTCAACAACCAAATCTCATCATAGCCCTCTCCTGCCTGCAGCCCTCCACCGGTTCCCATCCACCCAGACTACAATCCAGTCCCATCGCGTGGCCTAACAAACGGCTCCCCGTGATCCGGCTGGCCACCCTCCTTTTAAATCCTCTGCTTTTGCCACATTGACCTCTCTCCCCTCCAGGCCTTAGTGCAGGCAGTGCCCTCCACCTGGGCCCCTCTTCCCACTCCTGTTTACCTGGCCAGTTGCTGCTTAACCTCCTTTGAGCCTTGGCTTCACTGCCGTGTCCTGGAGTGGACCACCTGAGCCCCAGACTATGGCTCCTCCCTGGGGTTCCACAGCTGCCCTCTCCATCCCCAGTGATGCCTGGCCCCTGAGGTCAGGCTCTCCCGGACGCCCACTCATCTCTCGGCTGCTCAGTTCCGGCACGTGCCTGGTGGGGGAGAGGCGTCTCAGGGCCAAAATCCTGGAGTGTCCCAGTTGGACGCACCCTTAGGAATCCCTAATTCATTACACAAATATTTATGGAGCACCTACTTGGCCCAGGCCGGCTTCCAGGCTCTGGGGACAGACCCAGGGCCTGCCCTCCTGTCAGGGCAGCGAACAAGAAGCCAACCGTAATCAGGATGGGTTCAGCAGGTGGCAAATGCGGTGAGTGAATTAAAACAGGGGGCTGTGGGAGGGCAGCAGGGGTCTCAGAGGAGGCTCTCAATGAGGCAGTGGCACGTTTAAGGCCAGAGAGAAAAGTTGCCTATTTTGTGCAGACAGTGGGCGAGGCTGGGGAAGTCTTTCAGGTGAAGGAGGCTGCCAGCGCAAAGGTCCTGAGGTGCGGATGAGCTTTGAGGCACAGAAAGTGGGTGTGTGGCTGTCTTGTGGGATAGGAGGAGAGAGGGAAGACTGCAGGACCCTGTGGGAGACAGTGAGGACATCTTTAGTGCAAGGGGAGCCTCCGAAAGGGCTGAAGCACCAGAAATGGAAATTCCCAGAGGGAGAGAGTGCCCAGGGCCCCCCCCCCCCAACTCCCAGCCTCCAAGAGGAGAAAGTGTGGATGCCACTGTGTGGAAGGCATACAGTAGGCACTCCGTAAGTGCTGCTGAGAGGGGCTACGTAAACGGGCCAGGGAATGATGACGTTCCTTGATGGAACCACTCCCCAGCTGCCTCTGCTGGGCTCCATCAGGGCCCCCACCCCATGGGGTCTGTAATCAGGGCTGCTAAGGACAGTTGTGCGGGTCACCCAGCCGAGGGGGTCATCCAGCCATGTAACCCTCCCAAGGTGTGGGCCCTGGTGTGCAGCTGGTCCACCTGGCGGGGGCCTTTCTCTAATTCACCCAGAATTAGTGGGGACTTCGTTCCTGCAGTATCGGGCGGGTGGGGGGGCTGTTCCACAGACCCTGCAGCCAAGTCCAGCTGCATGAGTGTGCCACGTGTGTGCTCACCAGGGCCCCGTGCTCAGTTGTAATGCTCTGCCGTTGCCATCTCGAAATCCTTAATGTGTTTTGAAATCAAAGGCCCCTCATTTTCTTTTGCACTGGGTCTCTTGAATTCTGTGCCCGGTCCTGCCTGCATCTCTCCTCCTGCTGGGCCTTTGGGGGCCTCTGGATTTCCTGCATCCATCGGAATGTTCCCGCAGGCCCCAGTCCGGAGCTCTGCCCAGATAATGTCCCAAGGTGGGCCCCTAGCCTCTTGCTGCTCCATTCCGGGATTTCTTGGGTCAGCACTCTGGGCGGGAAGAGGCCAGAGGGGATCGGACCCTGTCCCACGAGGCCTCACTGGCCATCAGCAAGGACAAGATCACGTCCGGCAAAGTCTGCATCTTGTTTCGAGAAAGATGACCCTGATGGCCGGACCTCTCCTGGGGGCTCCTCCTGGAGAATCTCCCGCTCGCTCGGGGAATTCTGGAGACCTCCCAGCCTGGGTGGGTTCTGAGGTCCCCGAGCGACCACCATCTGGCCTCAGTCTCTTCGGCCCACCTTGTCCACGGGTGAGGAAGAAGCTGCCCACCAGGACAGGGAAGCAGCACATCTATTTTTAACTTCCTGTCTCTGTCCAACTCCCAGGAGTCTGGACCCTTGGCTCTGTGGCTGCACAGCCTAGATTGGGTTTCAGACCTGACCTTCTGGCCTTATTTCTCAGGTAGTCCAACCAGGCTGAAGCGCAGCCGCACTGCCGAGGCAGGCAGGCAAAAACAACCTCAGAGAGGAGAGCAGGAAATCGAGGCTCATGGATGGTTTTTGTCCTTAAACCCCACTCCTGTCCTGGCACCTGAAACCCCCTGGACTCTGGCCGTGGCTTTCTATTCCATAACCAAAGAAATTCACTTGAGGAAGTGATCTATCTGGTGGGGAAATTTTACACTAAGGTGTGAATGATTGCTATCACAAGGCCATATCGAATACATATATTACGTAGTATAATACAAGGCCATATGTAATAAGGTGGGGAGAGGAAGAAGAGGGCCAGGCCGATGCTCTTCCGTTCTGCCCCCATTCACAGGCTGCTCTTAACCCCCTCCTGCCACTCCTCAGCCAGGTCAGCCCTCCCCCAGGCTGTCAGGGGGGCACCCTCTGAGCTAGAAGCCACCGTCCTAGCCACCTCGGGCATTCCTCTGTTGGGATGGCTGGGACACGTGGGGGTGAAAACTGAGCAGGAGCCTTTGATTTTCAAGGAGAGGAGCCCGGAGAAAGAGGAGCAGTGAGGGGTGCAGCCACGTGTAGGAACGGGCTAGCCCACGCGAGCCTTGAACCTTGGCGTGTGCCCTGTGCGTGTTACACATCCTCCCCGCCCACCCAGTGCCACCAGACGTGGGGGGAAAGGTTAGCTTACACCGTCGGCGCACTGGGTCCCGGACTGAAATGTGTGCAGTTGGTCCCATAATTGCCCCATGGCCGCCGCGAGCCCCGCCTGCCTCCAGATCCCGCACCTGCAATAGCCGGGCACCAAAGTGTGTGCCGACGACCCCAGGCAGAAGGACCGTCCCGGTGGCCTCATGTGAGGGCAGGGGCCCCTGGGTGACACACGTGCCCATCTGGCATGCCAGAAGCTGTTTAACATTGACTGAGTCCTCCCCGAGCTGGTAAAACATCCGCCCCCGGAGGCTGCTCCCTCCCCCGCCCCTGTGTCCCTGGGCCAGACCCGCAGCCTGATTTCGCCACCCACCCGAAGGATACAGCACCGCCTCACCTGGCTGAGCCAGCACTCGGGGCCCCGCGCCTGCCCACTGGAACCTCAGACAAGAGCCCTGAACTCAGAGCCTCCCCGGGAGCCAGGCCCAGCTGCAGCAGTGAGGGTAAGGAAGTCTCCAGGTAGATGGCGGCGGGGCCCGGCCAAGGGCACCCACCTCCTGGGGACTGTGGACCCCCCGGGAGCTGGCAGGTGAGCAGGGCTCCTGCAGCCCCACTTCAAAGTCGCTTGCCTACCCCGCCTGCCTCCCCGCCTGCCCGCCGGCCAGGGCCCCTAGCCGGTCTGAAACGCACCTCCCTGAAGCCTGCAGCCCCGCCCGTCTCTGCCAGTCCGGGGATGTCAGCTTTGTGGAGGGCCTGTTCCAAGAGGTGGGTGATGTGGCCTCAGGCAGGGCGAGGGAGGAGGGAGCACAGCCCCCTCGAGGGCCTCCCAAAGTGTACCTTGACATATAACGTACGAATAACAGCAAAAGCAGGTAAGGGATGAGCAGTGCTGATGGACCAGGCTTTGTGCCCAGTGCTGATTGGAGGGGCCTTCCCTGTGCACCCCCATGTAAACTTAGCATCCTGCTTTTATTTTTGCCCTTGGCACTAAGGACTATCTGATGTTTATTGTCTTATTTAACTCCGACAGGTATACAGCACTTACCCTTTGCCGGGCACTACTCAAAGCCCTTTCCATTTGTTAACTCACGCAACTCTCACGTAGCAGCCCTTTCCCTGGTGCCCATTTTACAGAGGAGAAAACTGAGGCACAGAGAGGTTCAATAACTTAGCCAGGGTCACACAGCTTGTAAGTGGGGTTTCCACAGAGACCCTGGCATCTAGCTCCAGAGCCCGTGCTGGCCGTCCCGTGCTTCCCCCCCGCCCCCACCCCTACCCCAGCTGGCCTGGCAGCTCACAAGGACATGGGCTTTGTCTGTTTTGGTCACTGTTTTACCTCCAGCCCCTAGAGTGCTGTTTGGTGTGCAGTTAGTGCTCAGTAACCATCTGTTGAATGAATGACTGTCTCATGACTGCGTCATGGGGTCCGTCCTTTTTACAAATCGGGAAACTGAGGCTCCAGTACGTTAAGTACCTGTGACTTCGGGCTGGGATTGGAACATGGGTGGCTGACCAGGAGCTTGTGTCTCAGGACACAGTACAGGCTCCCAGGTTGGCAAGGCCCCCGATCCTCCCAGATCCTTCCTTGCTGCAGTATCCAGGCAGGGCCTGGCATCTCTGTTGCGAGCATGTTGGTTTGTGATGTGGCTGCGCAGCCGTGGCGAGGAGCCCAGCCGGAGGGGTGGCCGGGACGGCTCCTCTCTCTCGAGTCAACAGCAGGTGTCTGTGTGTGTGTGTGTGTGTGTGTGTGTGTGTGTGTGTGTGTGGACAGTGCAGGGTCTGGCTGGGCTGGATCTACAGCCTGGCTGCCCGCTGAGCCTCCTGGGGTGCCAGGGAGCTCCTCTCAGACCCGCTGAGGGAGCTGAAGCTGTGTCCTGCTTGCCCCCTGCCAGGCTCTCCAGACCCCAATCCTCCTCTCCTCCCTGGCTCACTCTGTCCCCCGACTCGGAACACCCTTCTACGGTTGACCCCTTGTCCTGCTCTTCCTTTGAGGTCCAGCTGAGCACCTTGGGTTCCTGGACATCTCTGCTCTCTAGTCCCCGCCTCATGCTGTATTTCCCTCGTCCTGTTCAGCTCACTCTTTACTGAGCACCTACCGTTTTCCAGGCTGTGGGTGCAGGGAATGAAGGGTTAGCATGTGCTGATTGTAACAGTAGCAAACACGTATCAAGCACGGTCGGCTTCCATTGTGCCAAATGTCAGACCTGATGTCTAACAGAATTCTCAGCACCTCTCTCTGATTTAGGGTCTGTTGTTTTCCCATTTAACAGAGAAGTAACTGGGGCTCGGTTTGTGCATTAGTGTAGAGGCGAAGTTCCTTTGCCAAAGAAACTCCCCCAATTACAGGCACTTAAATAAGACGGATTTTTCTCCTCTGCACCCCTCCCCGCCTCCGACTTTGTGCATGCTCCCCCCACCTTTCTCTCTCCCTCTCCTCCTCCCCCTCCCCCGCACCTCTCTCTCCTCTCTCTTTTCTCCCTTCCCCCCACCCCCCAACTTAGAAAGGCTAGCGGCTCCTTTAAGAAACTGACCCAGATGTTACTTTGAGTGTCATTTCCGCCTTTGTTTCTTCTGTGAGAAGGGAGTCGTGAAGCCGCACCTGTTGCAGGGGCATCTGGGAAACAGTGTCTTTAGAGACTGAGCCTTTAGAGGATGGGCTGAAGCCCACCTGGTGGTGAGTGTGTCAGCCGCCCTGCTCTTGCACCTACCGGACAAGGCATAGGATCAGAGGGCTCTAGAAGGGGCTCAGACGCCAATGAAGCCAGCCCCCGTACTGGGACCAGGGGACCCTCACCCTGTACGACTGCAGTCACTCCTAAAACGTGGGTGTATCCCTCAAGGGCTGAGAGACAGCTGTCACTGCTAGGAGACATCAGTTCTTAGGATCATTCAGTCCACGCCCCCAACTCCAATAGGCTTAAGCAAAAGGGAGAACCAGCTGGCTCCTGTAACTGAAATTCCATGGGCAGGGCTGGCTTCAGGCATAGCTAGATCCAGGAACTCATCGTTGTGTGGATTTGGCCTGCCTCCACCCACTTCTCCCTGCGCTGGTTTCATTCTCCTGACACGATGCAAAGGACGTGGCGGGCAGTTCCAGGTGTAGGTTCCCCCGGAACAGCAATGCCAGAAGAAAGAACTCTTTTCCTGCCTGTGACTTTGGAACCAAAATCCAGTCAGGGTTACTGGCCAGATTTGTGTCCCATGCCTCTCCCTGAGGCAGGGGAGTGGAGTCTGTGGACTAACCCAGGCCTGGGACATATGTTTGCCTCAGAATGCCTGTGTATGCGTGTGCGTGTGCGCGTGCGTGTGTGTGGTGATTTGTCAGGCTACCTCCCTCCAAACAACATGCATAAAGAGCAGAGCTGGGAAGGTGCCCCAGAGGACAACTGAGGTGCTATTTCCAGACAGAGGGGCATGGATCCTGGGCAGACAAAGCCAACAGGTGCCCGGGGTTCGATCTGGCCTCCGAGCTTGTTTGCCTGTATAGACAGAGCACACTGAGCAGAAAGCTTTGGCCTTTGGGCTGCTTGAATGTACTTCTCACTGTGTTAATTTCTCATGTCAGGTTCTTCTTCATCTTTTTTTAATCTTCAAATGCAAGCCCTCATTTTGCAGATGAGGAAACTGAGGCCCGGAGGGTCTTGGCAACTTGCCTGAGACCACACGGCTTGGTGGCGATGGGGTGGGACTCAGCCAGGCCTCCTGACAGCCTGGGGTTTGACCATTGATCCCAAAGTGCCTGCCCCCGGGGAGGGCTTTGGCCAAGATCCCTGCTCTGACCCTCCTTCCTCCTCACAGAAAGTCCATCCATGGGAACTCGGTGAGGTCTCGAATGCCTGCAAAATCCTCCAAGATGTACGGCACGCTGCGGAAGGGGTCTGTCTGCCCGGACCCCAAGCCGCAGCAAGTGAAGAAGATCTTTGAAGCACTCAAGAGAGGCCTCAAGTAAGGACCCCATTTGTTGCCCTTAAAATGCTCGTCCTCCGTTCCGGCCTGCTTCTCCTCTCGGCCCGTCCCTGAAGACCGTGGCTGGGTGTCGTCTGTGAGAGGCCCCACGGGGAGCTAGCTCCTGCTTATTCATTTCGCCCACAAGCATGTCCTGGGGGCAGCCCCACGCTCAGGCCTGTCCTTGGGCGCTAGGGACACAGTGCAGGCTGCCGGAGGACCCTGGTCTCATGGCGCTTATGGCGTGGAGGGGAGACAGCGCTGAGGGAGTGACACGGTCAATAACGTAACTCCCACCGGCCTTAGTGCAGTGAAGGTGACGGCGGGGCAGCGCCCGGAAGCCCATCACACAGGGTGACCGGGGAGACTCCCCGAGGAGATCTGGCTGGTCGTGCTTGCCTCTGGGAGATAAGTGTCCCAGGCAGAGGGAAGAGCACAGGCAAAGGCCCCGAGGTAGGAGCGTGTAGGACAGGTGGCCAGGGTGGCTGGGTCTGAGTGAAGGAGAGCTGGACTGGGTAGCTGGGCAGAGGCCAGGATGGGAAGATTCAGTCACTCACTCCAGATCTTTTGATTGAGGGCTTATGAAGCGCTAGGCACAGGGTGTGGGAGTGAGCAACACACAGAAATCCCTGCCCCCGTGGAGCTTCCTAATGGGAGACAGACAGACAATAAACAACATACAGAGTGAGTCAGGTGGTGGTAAATAAATCAGGGTAAGAAGGCGTGGGGCTGATCTTAAATAAGGGGTTTTAAAGAAGTTCTCATTAAGAAGGTGACATTTGAGCAAAAGCCTGAAGGGGTGAAGGAGTGAGCCCAGCAGATAATGGAAAAAGAACATTCTAGGCCAAGGAAGCCACACATGCAAAGGCCCTGGGGCAGGAGCATGATTAGAGGATTAGGGGCGGAGTGAGCAGACCAGCTTGGGAGCCAAGAGAGGGAGGGGTGAGGAGGTCTGGGGGACAATGGGGACCAGATGATATGGGTCCTTGTGAACACATGGTATTCACTCTGGGGGAGCTGGGAGCCATGGAGTGTTCCACCTGGGGGAAGGATGATCCGAGTTTGGTTTTAATGAGATCCTTCTGGCTGTATGTGGAGAATGGACTGCGGGGGGCCAGGGCAGAAGGGGGGGAGGCCAGTGAGAAGGTGACTGCAAGGGCCGAGGTGGGAGGTGATGGTGGATTTGGCCAGATGGCAGCTGGGTGGTCAGGGGACAGGGTCAGTTTCAGGATACGTTTTGACAGTGGGACAGACAGGATTTATTGAGGGAGGGGTTGGGGGTGAAGAGGAAGATGAAAGGAGGGAGTCAGGGCACACACCTGAGGTTCACGGAAGAGGTCAGGACTCTGGCTTAAGCTCAGTGTTGCCCCATGAGCACGCCGCATGGAGGGAGGGGCCCCTACCAGTAGCCCCTCCATGTTCCTCAACCCCAGACACCCAGTTCAGGGGGCCTCCTCGCTCCCAGCAGGCACCTTGCTGCAGTCCCAGCCCCGTCCCCACCCACCCCTTCTGCACCTGCCGCCCCCACTCTGTTCAAGTCTCTCCCATGGCTCTCGCCCACCCTTGGGAGGGCATTCAGGGTCCTTTCTGACCTTCCACCTTTCTAGACTTTTCTTCTATTATTCACTCCCCATCCTCACTGGTACCCCGAATGTGCCATCTTCCTTTATACGCCTGCACCTTGGCTCTTGCTGAGCGGCTCCTCGGCAGTGGGGAGCATCCGCAGGCTGCCATTCGGCCACGTCCCTAGTTCAGCACACATGCACACCTTCTGAATCGGACGCTGTTCCTTCCTGCTGGGATGCCTGTCCTGCCCTCCGCCTCTTGTGATCCTGCTCTTTGTTCCTCACTAATACCAATGACAGCAGCAGCTATAGCTCGTTCGGGGCTTTGCATCCTTGAATCCCTGAAGAATGTTGTCAGAGAATCTCCTAACCGCCTCCTCTCCTCGGTAGAGGAAACTGAGTCCCAAGGATGGGAAGCAACTTGTCCAGGGTCCCCACAGCCAGGAAGCAGGAAGTGGGGCTCCAGGGCTGGTGCCCACCTGCCCCCTGTTCCCCTCCCCCCGCCCCGTACCGGGGTTAAGGGTAAATGTTACCTCCCCCACTTGCCACGTCCCGACTCCCCACCCAGGGGGCATCCATCGCCTTCCGCCCGTGATGCACACTGCACGTCTGGCCCAGCGCTGGCGCAGGGTGGGAGCGGGGGGCGTGTGCCTGGAGCCTGTCTTCAAGGGGCTCATCTCCCAGGACTGCCTCTGGATTCCTATAAGGACCACACATTTGGGACTCGTCTGGGCTCACTCAATAGCATCCCCTTCTTCCTGGAGAGCCCAACCCCTAAGTGAGCAATGGCCTGGCAGATGGTGGTGTAAGTGGGCCCAGAGAGGGTGAGTCCCCTTCCTGGGTGGTCCAGTAAATCTATGATGAAGCAGGATGGGCCCTCACCCCTGCCCCCCAAGTCCAGACCTCAGGTTTCATGTCTAAGGCTCTTTGGCTGGAAAAGAACATGAAATGTCCCCTCCAGGCCCACAGCTTTCTCTGTGCTTCCCAGAATGGGTCTTCTGGCCCCTCTCTGGTCCTTGGTCCTAAACATGCTGACACCAGGATGGCCTGCCTTTGTCGGTGAGGGGGGCGTGCTCTTGCTGACCTCCCCATGGGCTGGGGCGAAAAGAGTGGCCTCTGGAGGCCACTGCCTGGTTTCAGATCTGGGTTCAGCCTCTTCCCTGCTGTGACTCTGGGCTGAGTTTCCTTGCCCATTTTGAGGGTCAGTTTGCCCAGCTCTAAAATGGGTATAATAACCGTGGAACCTGTTTGTGTGGCTGTTTTGTGAACTGATGGAGAGATTTCTCATCTTGCACAGCCCTGGGCACACAGCCCGCAGCGTGTGGGGTCTGGAGGCTGAGCGAGCCGGGGCCAGACTGCCGGTGGGTGGGATGGCTCTGCCGTCTGGCCACTGAGCGGGCCGGGAACCACCGCCGTTCCTGCTGTGGCAGCTGTGGCCGCCTCTGCTCCAGAACACTGGTCCCCTGGCCGTTTCTTTTTGTCTTCTTGTTCCTTGGCAAACCCCTCTTCCTCGTTCTCCTCACAGGGAGTATCTGTGCATCCAGCAGGCCGAGCTGGATTACCTGTCAGGTCGCCACAAGGACACCCGCAGGAATTCGAGGCTGGTGAGACCTCTCCCTGTCCCCCCCCGCCTGAGCAGCCTTGGTGGGGTGCGCCTGCCTCGCACGCGGGATAAAGCTCAGTCTCGGGGCTCAGAGGCCTAAGGAATAGACTGTCTTTATCTTCCGATGATCCCAACTCACTCGGCCCCTGAGGGATTTAGCCTCACAGGTGGTTAGGAAGCTTCCACTCTCCCTCCCCCTCCTCCCCGCCCCAAGGTCCAGCAGTCCACCTCCACTCACTCTCTGGCTCTAGAAGTAACTGTAAGCTAGGCAAGTGTATAAAGGCTCCTCCATTCTAGCTGTTCCCATTTCACGGGCAGGCACACTGAAGCAAGGAAAGACGTGGCCACGCTGGGGACCCGGGGTCCCGCCTCACTGGACACTGCTGCTTCTCAGCTTCCTGCGCAGTTACTTTTCCTCCCAAAGCCTTGAGAACTTTCCTATTTCTCTATAGCTTACATGGAGTCTTAATTTCATAAGCGCACACATACAGTTTCTCGTAAATGCCTACGTGGGAAAACACACACTTTTGGGGGGATTTAACCCACCTTTCCTTTTGCTTGACACCCCTTCCTCCCCAGTCTTCGGTGTCCCACCCCGTTTAACCCCTGAGGACAATCTAGGATTTCTCTTTCCATATTTTTCTCCCTGATCACATAGTCACATAAACACATGAACGCGTAGAGAAGATTTTGGTCAACAGTTGTCTTACAAAGATGAAGTCGCAACTTACCCACTGTCCCGAGTCTTGCTTTCTCTCTCTAGTGAATCTCTGACCTTGTGGAAAATCCTCCCGGGTCAGGCAGGGTGATGTAAGCTTAAAAGAGGGCCTGTTTGGAAATAGAGTTTATCTGCATGTGGCCGCGGCCACACTGATGTGTTGTGTGCCGCTGTGTGCAGACCACATGGCAGAGACCACACGGCCCCCAAGGCCAGAAGTATTCACCATCTGGCCCTTTATGCGAAGATCTGCTCAGTTGACAGGTTCTTTCTGTTGGTCACCCCCTGGACCCTGGTGTGGCTGGATCGATCTGGATTTGCATTTTCCCCAAGCCTGAACCCCCGCCCCTGGGTGGGGGTGCCCTCCCTCAGTTCTTCTGGCCATGGCCGAAATCATCCCTTAAACAATCAGACCGCAACGGTCCCCATTTTGTCAAAGGCTTACTGTGTCCTTTACTCTTCATGGCAACCGTATGGGGTGGGTGCTATGTGCTATGGCCACCCCATTTTACATGAGGACATGGAGGCTCAGAGACGTTGAGTAACTGGCCTGGTACACACAGCTGGGAAATAGAGCCAGGCCGAGACCTGCATCACCCAAAGCATGTGTGTTTATCACTCTTCCCCCGGGCTCTGGACAGGCCACTGATGACTGTAGGCCGCAGCGGTGGGAGTGCGCGCTGGCCTTCTGTCATCTGAGTTCAGGTGCCCCTGCGGTGTAGCCTCATGGGTCTTGGCGGGGCACCTGGAGCCCTAACATCCTGTCCTTCCCCCTATTTTTCTCCCCCACAGGCTTTCTATTATGACCTGGACAAGGTGAGCGAGACTTTCTGTCTACAGGGCTGTAAGCAAGGTGGGCCAGGCCTGGGCCCATGTCGTTGCTCCCATTTCGTCCCTTGGGCCATCCTGCAGGACGGATACCTGGGTTTCCTCCCTATTTTACAAATGGGGAAGTAGGTTCGATGATGAGCCTTCCTCGAGGATGGTGAGGGGCGGGCCTGGCTTTGAGCCCAGTTCTGTGTGTTAGGACCTGGGTTGGGGGCAGGGGCTGGGGGCTGGGGGGTGGCCCAGGCTACTTTTAAAGCACCTCCTCTTTTTCCGGGAGAAGCAAATGCGCTCTGTGGAAAGGCACATCCGGAAGATGGAGTTTCACATCAGCAAGGTCAGCCTGCCTCCTGGAGGTCACAGGGTGGGGCTGTGGCTTGCTGGACCTCCACTGGGTTGGCAGGGGAGAGTCTGAGGAGGAGCAGGAACTGCAGGGGCTTGGCCCTGAGACGGGAGTCGGGGAGGGGGATGCCGCTGGGCTCCCCAGGAGTGTGGGGTTTAGATGGAAAGACCCCATGCCCCATCTTATAGGGCGAGAAGGCTGAGTCCAACCATCCCATTGTAGAGATGGGAGAGTAGAGGCCCAGAGAGGGCCAAGGATGGGCCCAAGGTCACACAGAGAGTCCTTTAAGCTTCACACACTCTCCCAGCTCTTCCATATGCCCTTGCTTTGCTCTCTTGGGGGTCCAGTGGTGGGCAGGGTGTCACAAACCCACCTCCCCCGTTTTACACCAAAAGTCGGGCAGGGGGAGGGGAAGTGATGCATTTACCCATCCAGGTCATTGGTTTTTACTGTGCGCTCCCAGGCGCTGGGGACACAGAGTGGATGAGCAATGTGTTCCCTGCCCCCGGGCCTCACATTCCCGGGGCAGGGGACCCAGAACGGCTAGCCCAATAGCGCAGGGCTGCGTGGCGTCTCGGAGGGTGAGCCAGGTCGGCATGGACAGCGCCCAGCAGCCCGTGCGCCCTCCGCAGGTGGATGAACTCTACGAGGGCTACTGCATCCAGTGCCGCCTGCGAGATGGTGCCTCCAACATGCAGAGGGCCTTCTCCAGGTGCCCGCCCAGCCGCGCCTCCCGAGAGAGCCTGCAGGAGCTGGGCCGCAGCCTGCAGGAGTGCACCGAGGTGGGTGCAGAGGGCAGCCTGTGGCGGGGGGGGGGGGGCGCGGTGGCGCTGGACCCCGAGGAAGCATCCCTCTCTGCCCCCGGGCCTCTGGCTGGCAGGATCTGCGTGCCCCCCTCCTCCCACCTCAGCTGGCCCAGGGCTGGGCAGTGAGCCACCTTGTGTGGGGCTTTGCAGGACATGTGGCTCATCGAGGGGGTCCTGGAGGTTCACCTGGGAGAGTTCCACATCAGGATGAAAGGTAACAGAGCTGAGAGCGAGTGGGCAGGAGCCAGTTTGGGTGGGGGCTCAGGCCTTCTTGGGGGCCCTGGGACTTCTGCTGAGGGTGGGGGTCTGGTCAGAATCCCAGGGGTCCAGGCAAAACTTTGGGTTTCCACTCATGGGACTCGTGACCCCAGCCGAGTCCCGTCCCCGGAGTTGGACGTGAGGGCCCAGTCCTGTCACTGTCCATCCTGATGGTTTACCCCTCCCTGAAGCGGATGCCCACACTTGGGCAGGGGATCCCCCAGTGAGGGCCTGAGGTCCATGGGGCAGGGGCAGAGCAGGCCAGAGAGGAGATGAGCCCGTCTCTGTGTTCCAGGCTTGGTGGGCTACGCACGCCTCTGTCCCGGAGACCAGTATGAGGTATGGCCACCTCCACTGTCAGGCCTCAGGGTTCCCCACCAGACCTTTGGGGGTTGGGAGCTGCTGGGAACCAGGGTCCCGGCTGGGTTTCTGTCTCCACCCCCGCCTGGCCAGCAGGGAGGGCCCCCAGGCCGGGGGCAAGGGGGAGTGCCTACCTGGGGCAGCTGGCCTATCCCTTCTTGGGCCGTGCCCACAGGTGCTCATGCGCCTGGGCCGCCAGCGCTGGAAGCTGAAGGGCCGGATCGAGTCAGACGACAGCCAGACCTGGGAGGGGGAGGAGAAGGCCTTCATCCCCGCCCTGCGCGAGAACTTCGAGATCAAGGTGGGTGGGGCCCGGGGGGCGGGGCCAGGGTGCCCAGGGGCTCAGCGCAGACACGGTCCACAACCCCCACCGTCCCCCCCAGGTGACAGAGCTGAGGGGCCTGAGTTCACTGACGGTGGGCACAGTGTCGTGCGACATCACTGACTTCTTCACGACCAGTCCGCAGGTGATCGTGGTGGACATCACAGAGCTGGGCACCATCAAGCTGCAGCTGGAGGTGCTGTGGAAGTGAGTAGGGGCCAGCCGCCTTCTGGGGCTCTGAGGCCCCTCCCCAAGGCCAGCCCCAAACTCCCACCCACAGGGACTCCCACCCAGAGCTGAGAGGCGAGGGGGGGCCTCCCTGGCTCCCCCTGGTGGTCTGACCACACCCTAGCACCCACCAGTGCGCGTCCTGCCCTCATTCAGCCCCACAGACCGGCGCGAGCCCAGACTTCTTTGTAGCCTCTGCCCACCCCACTTTCCCCGCCCCCCTGAGTTCTCATTCCCGTCTTACAACCAGAGACCCGTGCTGGCCAGGACCCTTTCCAGGGGCCTCCTGGGCTGGGTTCCATGGAGGAGCCTTGCTTCTGCCCAGGAGGGCTCTCCTTACTGCTCCCACCACCTCATTCCCTGCTGGCCCCTGCCGTCTAGCAGCCACTTAGCCCCTCTGGACCACAGACCCCTTGGGTGGGGGACACTCCTGAAAACAACCCCTGCCCGGGGTGGGGGATCTCCATCAGGCATTGCAAGGGGGGACGGGGAGTACCCGCTTGGGGCAGCTGACTCATCACCTTCTTGGGTCATTCCGCGAATGCTGGTGGTCTCCGCAGGCTTTGTGTTTGCTCTTCCTCCATATGAAACCTAGTGTTTCGAGAGAATTCTCTTCCCTTTACTTCCCAAGGCAGGTGCAGCAGGAACTAAGGGCTGAGGCCTGCTTCCTCCATTCTGGTGCTTGCTCCGACTGGTTGGGGCCAGTCTCCGGTTTCTTCTTCCTGGGGTGGGCGTCCGAGCCTGGGGTCACTGGATGCTGCTCTCTCCCCAGTGAGCTGGGCGAATTGGGGCGAGTGAGCACCCCCAGCCTCAGTGTCTTCATCTGTCTAGTGGGGGCTGAGCACACTTCTTCTGCAGGAGGCTCCTCAAGTCTATAGGGTGGTGGGCAGCCCAGCACCGTCCAATTGGAGGCCACGCAAATCCAAGGCCGCAAGCATCCTGCTGGCTGCAGCTGCCCTAGGCAGGCAGGGAAGGCTTCCCAGGGGGGTGCCTGCAGCGTCTGGGCCCCACACAGCAAGAGCCAGGCCTTTAAGCGAAGGAGAGCGAGCAGGTTTCTGTGAGGCGGGGAGGTTACCCAGACTTCCTGGCTCCCTGGGCAGGCTCAGGGAGGGCCCAGCTTGAGCCCCACACCCCCTGTATTTCACACGTTCACTTTGGATTCCCAGCCTTACCTATGACCAGGACCGACAGAGGTCCTTTGATAGATAATGGCGTCCCCTTTACAGATGAGGACGAGAGGGATGGTGACATCGTTGACCCAGAAAATGGCAGAACTGAGTGTCCACTGCGCCTCTGCTGAGCTTCTGAGGGGACCTCTAAAGGGGGTGCCATTCACATGAGTGGTGGCCGATGGTCGCCCCTGGCCATCTGGCTCAGGGCCCTCAGGGTGGTGGGAGTCTGAGACGTTCCCAAGGGGGTGGCGAATATGCACCTTGAGTCCCCAGGCTGTGCCTGTGACCCCAGGTCAGGCCAGGCCCCCCGCCAAGCCTCCATCCCTCTTATAAGTCCCCCGGGTCTGGTCTGTGCTCCTATGTCCTCCCAGGCAGTGATGGCACCCTGCCCTTCTGCTCTCTCCTCCAGCCCGTTTGATACTGAGAGCCTCCTGATGTCACCCAGCCCCACAGGCAAGTTCTCCATGGGCAGCAGGAAGGGCTCCTTGTACAACTGGACACCCCCAAGCACTCCCAGCTTCCGAGAGAGGTATTACCTGGTGAGTGAGCCTCCCCAGGGCAGGGATGCTGCGGTCACGCTGGGATTTCAGATGGGGGCAGCTCCCCCGGGGGCCAGCATGTGGGGCTGGGCCGAGCAGCCTGGCGCCTGGCGCCTCCGGAGGTAGCAAGCTCTGGACTCAGCCTCCCTTGTTTTGGGGACATCCTGGCTAGTTTCCGGTGCTTTTTCTTCCTCGCTGTCAGCCCTCCATTCTGGGGGCCTCCGGGCTTGGTTCCAGGTTTGGCTGGTTCTCCTGGAAGCCTGGAGTGGGGTTCTCTGGATGGTTCTACCACCCCCGCCATAACCTTGGCCTCCGATTTACCTGTTTTACAATTAGATTTAATGTATGATTCTAGTAGGTAATACCTTGACATAGCGCACAGTAAAACCTCTCTTTCCTGTGACCTCCAGAGATCTGGGTCCCTTCCTTAGTGCCAACTATTGTTGTCAACTACTTCCATATTCTGGCCATGGTGGGCCCGGCATACTTCAGTTAAAAAAAAAAAAAAATATATCACATCTGGTCCAGAGCATGGACTCTGGAACTAGACAGGCAGGCGTCAAATTCTGTTTATGCCTCTCACCTGCTGTGTGACCTTGGGCAAGTCACTCAACCTCTCTGGACGTCAATTTCTGTATCAGAGAGCTGCGAACAACAACAGCACTACTCTGGTGGGGGTCTGCAAGGATTAAACGAGTTAATACATGAGAAGTGCTTGGGAGAAGGCCTGACAAGAATAGCTGGTGCTGTGGGAACAGCAGTTATCAGTGGTCTGCCTAAGGGGGGTGGGGGAGGGCCGCAGCAGAGGGGGCAAGGGCTGGCCCATTCACATCACTCATTCAGAACTCTGGGCCAGGCTCTGTTCTGGGCCAGGTGAGGACGGTGCCCTCGGGGAGCACTGCACTGCCTGCCCAAGGGGCTAGGGACCGTGGGAACAAAGCCAGGAAGGGGCAGGGGACTGCCGGGGCAAGGTGGGCCTTGCTCCTTAAAGTAGGGTGTGCAGGGGAAGGTCCCCAGAAAAGGTGCCATTTGACTGAGGGCCTGAGGGGACAAGGGCACGACCACAAAGACCTAGGGGGAAGAACGTTCCAGGAAGAGAGAAGAGTCACCGCGAAGCCCTGGGCCAGGAAGGCGCCGAGCCTGGAGGCCAACAGCTTGGTGGCCCCAGGGGCTGGAAAGGAGTGAGTCCGAAGGACGATGGGGGTCAGGACAGACAGGCTGCAGGGTCCTGTCAGCACCTCCAGGCCGCCGGCCACCTTGGGCCTCAGTCATGTCGACAGGGTGGGTGTGCAGCGCGAGTGTTTAGGGAGGGAAGCGCCGCCGGGGGCCTCGCAGTAAAGGATGCTCCCGTGTCCCCCTCCCCAGTCTGTCCTGCAGCAGCCAGCGCGGCAGGCTCTGCTGCTGGGGGGGCCGAGGGCCACTTCCATCCTCAGCTACCTATCTGACAATGACCTTCGGGGCCCTGGCCTGCGGAGCCAGAGCCAGGAGCTGCCCGAGATGGACTCCTTCAGCTCCGAGGACCCCCGAGACACGGAGACCAGCACATCGGCATCCACCTCAGACGTGGGGTTCCTGCCCCTGGCCATTGGCCCCAACGCCTCCATTGAAGAGGAGGCCCAGGAGGACGCCCAGCCCCTGGGCCTCCTGCCAGAGACGGACCACCTGGCGGAAGGCTCCTTTGTGGAGCAGCCTGGCTGGAGGAATTTGGGAATAGAGGGCCCCGACCTGCCACGGGGCTCCCCGTTCCACAACCATCCAGCCCCGGGTAGCCAGAAAGACGACAATGAAGGAGAAACCGAGGACAGAGTGGATGGGCCCGAGGTGACCCTTGAGAGGCCCCTGCAAGAGGTCCTGGATTTACTGAGGTCCGTGGACCCGGCCCAGCCGCAGCTGCGGGAGCTGGAGTACCAGGTTCTCGGCTTCAGGGACCGGCTGAAGGTAGGCTTATTCATCAAGGGGCGGCAGCCCTGCTTTACCAGTGCCTAACAAGGGGGAGTAGTCTCAGGGGCCAGCCGGCCTGGGCCAGCATCCTGGGCAATGTCTTCCCTCGGGGCCTCAGTCTGCACATCTGTCAAGTGGGGAGAACAAAGGTCCTCGGTGGCCCGGAGGAGGATTATAAAAGGAAGTCGGGGATCACAGTAGATAACCTGCTCCACGTCTGGCCAAGAATCCGGCCCCATCTGGCATCTTCTGACCCGGGCAGGTTGGGGCTGGAGCTGGGTGTTCCATTCCCAAACCTGGGGTGTGTTCGGGGTCAGAGCTGGTGCCACAAAAGGCCCCGCGCAGCCGCACACCCTCCCCTGAACCTGCTTCTCGGCAGGGCCTGTGGCAAGGGCCATCCTCGGTGGCTCTCAGCGGTGCTGGCCTGGGCAGATTATTCAGTTTTTCCAATTACATAATTTTAAATGTATGGGCAATAAAACGTGTAACACGAGCACCTACGTACACATCGGTTAATTTATGAAAGCACCGTCTTTGGTGTAGGACACACTGGGACTGAAGGAGTTCAACGGCTCTCTTCAGAAATTATCTGGGGGGATTTCGAGATTTAGAATGGGCCCAGCCACAGTGCTGAGGGGCCTAGTGCTCCTGAGCGCAGGGAGGCCGTCACGGGCCTGGGAAGACGCACGTGTGAGCTCAGCCTCGCTCCGGCGGGAGTTAGTGCTGTGGGGGCTCGAGCTCAGTGTTAGTGCAACGTCGGTGGAAGTTCAACACTGTGTCTTCACACAGAAACACACGTAAGACAAGGTTCTGTGCTGACAGGCTGATGAAAATGTTGTGACCGGAGGCTCACGGTCTCTGCGCTTCTCCTAGGAGTGATGTTTGGTACACCGCGAATTAGGAGAACCGACTGTGCGCGTGTGTGTACACGCATATACACCCACACCCAAGGAAGAGAGATCCCCCCCCCATTTTGTTTTTCTATCAGGAGAGGGGATCTCTGCAACTAGCCTTGTTATTCTCGTTAGTCAGAGTTTTCTCTGTGGGCTCCACCTTTGAGAGCCTCGTTCTGGCTCTCAAGGCAGGATCTGGGAGCACTCTGTGTGGGACGAGGCCTGGGCGTGCCGGGGATGGGGACACAGCAAGCCCTGGAGTCCCGCCATGAATCGAGAGGAGACCAACATCTCCCGCAGTGGGTTTCGAAGCGCCGAGGAAGGGACCTGCCTTTGAGAGCTGTGGCACCAACACTCTCTCCCCACCCCCGCCAGTCAGGGGGTGGCTCAAACGTCCCTTCCTTCCGCCTTTCCCTGAGAGAAGAGACACTTGAGATCTAGAGGCTCACCTGGCAGCCTGTGAGCCTCCTGAAGGGGTTCTGACCCACGCCATCTTTTTCAAAATAATTTGGAATTGGTGGCCAATATTTAAGAACTGGCAGCTTCCCACAAGTCTAGGTTTCCAGGTTTTTTGTTTTTTGTTTTTTGTTTTTTAAGAAAATGGACCGATCTGGCAACCCTGGCCCCCCACATTCCCGAGTGGCAGGTGTCAGCTGGGGCAGAGCAGGAGCCTGGCCCTCTCGGGGGGAGGACGCACGTTCTGCTCCCCACCTGCCCCACTCACTCACTCCTGTCTCTCGCCCTGTCCCTGTGGGCTCTGTGAGCCAGGTGAGGCTTTTCAGATCTGCGTCCCTTGTGCTCCCCAGCCATACCTTGTCACAGGCTATTTGGGAGGGGCCTCGGGCAGGGCAGTGCCCCCGTGCCCATCCTTGAATTGGGGGATCGCACTTGGGCAGCTGAGGCTCGCAGCCCTGCTGATGGACGGTGCCCATGAGCCCCTGTCCTCAGGGTCTGCCCTAAGGGCTCACTGCTCCGTCCACAGCCTCGCGGAGCCCGCCAGGAGCACGCCTCTGCCGAGAGCCTGATGGAGTGCATCCTGGAGAGCTTTGCCTTCCTCAACGCTGACCTCGCCCCACAGGACCTGTCCCTGTTTGGGGGCTGCCAGGGTCCCCGGTAAGTGCACTCCCCTCCCAGCGCTGACCCCGGGGACCAGCCTCAGTTCCACGCTTCCTGTCGGCCTCCTGGCCGATGCCTTCCCTCGCCCTGGGCCCAGCTTGTACCTCTCTTGTTTCTCTGTCGTGCCCCTGCCCCCGCATGCCCACTGCCTGGCGCAGAGCAGACCTGTGCTGACCACTGAGTGAATGACCGTCCCCCAGCATGGTGCTGAGCTCTGAGCAATGGGCTGTTTGGGGTTTATCTTAAAAAAATGACGATAAGGTACATGGTAGAGCCTCTGTACTCTGCCTCACGTACGGGCAGCAGTGAGCAGTGACCCATGCTCCCTGGTCTTCTGCACAATTCGCCCTGACCTCTGACACCAACTTCTTCTCAGCTCAGCAGCCCCCACCTGCCCCGCTCACGCCTTGCTCCTGTACCAAATCTCAGCAGCACCAAAGAGGATACACAGGAAACTTTGTCTCCTCCTCTCACGATCCCATGGGGAGGGGGTGGCACTCCACCTGCCATCCCAGTGTCACAGTGTCCTCAGGCCTTGGGCTCAGCTCCTACCATGAAGCCAACATGGTGCCAGGCCGGCTGGCTGGCAGGGTTGCACTTACCCCTCACTGCCACGAGCTTGGTACTCCTGTCCCCCCTTTACAGATGAGTACACTGAGGCCGGGGGGGGGGAGCAGGCCGGTCCAGAGACACAGAGCTAAGGATTAGTTTGAGCTTCTGACTTCAGGTCGCCCACCCTGGAAGGTGTCCCCAGCTCCCCCGTCTCCAGGGCCCACGCCAGGCCAGCACCTGTTTTGAGTTGTTGCCGGCTTTTGCTGTTTTTCCTTTTCTCTTAGTTTTCTCCTTGGTCTAACTCTATCTCCCTGGGACGTGGAGTGGGCCTCCCTGACCAGAGCTCTGCAAGGAGGGAGGGTTTCTTCTACCGTTGGAGGGAGCCAGGCTGCTAAGTGGAATGGTCACCCGGTTCTTCTCAATCCAACTCAGGAAGGACAGGACCCCGCCCCCGCGGAAAGCGTCATCTGGGGAGCTCACAGCCGGCACCCCGGAGCTGGACAGGCTGCTCACGGTCCACCTCCACGTCTGCAAAGCTCTGCTGCAGGTGGCTAAGGGATGGGGGTGGGGGGCGCTTGCTGGGAAACCGGGTTGGGGGTCCTCTTTGCAAAGAACTGATCTTGATCGTGGGGGGGAGCATGGTGCAAGGAAGAGAGACACCCCCCCACCCCCACCGAGAGCCAGTGAGACAGAGGAGGTTCCTCTGTGGAAGGTTCAGGCCCGGGTGAATAGCCACGTGGCTCTTACGCATCCCAAGTGCTGAACCAAAAGCAGTGGCCGCGGCTCCTTCGGCTGCAGGCGCCAGAGCTCCAATCCAAGCTGGCTCAACCAGAAGGAACTTTCTGGCTCACAGAATTGAAAGGCCCAGGGGTAGGCTTCGGGACCAGCTGGATCCAGGGGTTCAAATATCTTGAATATTCAAATATCCGGGTCTCTCTTGGCTCTGCTTTCCTGCGTTGGCTGGCTTCACCTTCAGGCAGGCTAGCCCTTTCTGGTGGCAGAGGTCGCCCCTGGCAGTCACAGCCTGCATCCCACCATCTCTGCCACCTTGGTGAATCAGGAATCCCCGGATGACAGCCAGAGAGCTACCGTCAAGATAGAAAGGATGGGCAGGGGGGAGGTGGGAGCTGCAGTCGCGATCACTGACCTCAGGGGCCATGTTCTGTGCTAACCTGGAGCATCATGCGCTGCTTTCCAGAAACTGGCCTCTCCTAATCTGTCGAGGATGGTCCAGGAGTGCCTTCTGCAAGAAGCTGCGCAGCAAAAGCAGGTTCTGGAGATGCTTTCTGTGCTTGATTTTGAGAAGGTCAGCAAGGCAACATCCATTGAAGAAAGTAAGTAACTGCCCGCCACCCACGGGCCGCTCCTGTGAATGGCGTGAAGCGATGGGCTTCGAAGCCCAGGGGAGCCTCGTCTTCCCTCCTGATGTCCAAAGCTCCCTGGAGCCCAGGGGGGACGTGCTGGGGTGGCGACTGGGCTGTGCTCTGACACTCAGACTGTCTTACGTGCCACCTTGGAGTCGGTGGCACACACCCTTCTGTCAGCGGCGCGACTCTGGGCAAATGATTCCCCTCTCTGGGCCTCAGCTTCCCCATCCGTATGAAGGGGAGGCCGCGGGAGAGTGTTCAGTGAGGTAATCCCCAGGCCACATTCGAGGCGCAGAGCGTGCACGCAAACATGAACAGTACCTGTGACCCCAGCCCTGCCCCCCCACCCCCCGTGGAACCTCCCCGTGTCCATGAGGAGAGGCTAGAGGCAGGAGCTGTCCCCGCGCTGTGGGGGCTGTGGGGAGGGGCCCGGGGAAGGCAGTCACAGCTGAAGCTGCTGGTCCTCGCGGGTCGCGACTGGGAGGTGGGAAGGGAAGCTGCATGAAGTCCGGTCACCCCTCACCTCCCTGACCTCTGAGGCCTCAGAGCTGGAGGAAATCCTTGGGCCGCCTCCTTGCCGGCCCTTCCCCCACCACCAGTGGGGTCCTGACCCGGGCTTTCAGTCGTCCCGCAGGCCGCTCGGAGGAAGGGGTGCCTGAAGCTGTGGAGAGGGTGCACGGAGCCCGGCAGGGTCCTGTCCTGCCCCGCCACGACGCTGCTGAACCAGCTCAAGAGAACGTTCCTGCACAGGGTCCGAGGGAAGTACCCGGGACAGCTGGAAATAGGTACCCCCGCCCCCTACGAGCAACGCTGTGCTGAGTCCCCGCCCCCCCCGCCCGGGGCCTGGTTCTAGCCCTGCCTGCACCCCTGTGTCTTCATGGCACCGAGGGACGGCGTCTCTCAACCTGCCCCCGAGCCACCTCCTCTCACGGGGGACGGGAAGGAGTCTGCGGACCCCCGAGGCCGCCGCCGTTAGCCGGTTGGCACATTTCTGCAGATGGACTGCGCAGCTCCCACCAGAACCTTAAAGGGGTTCAGAAAGAACGTTTATGGGAAGGTAGGCAGGAGAACGGTGTCTTCCAATGTTGGCTGGACTCTTCCTCAGAACGCAGAGCATCTCCCCTGCAGGGGCTCTGGAACTTGGGCCGCCCTGACCGGCACCTGGCTGCTACTCGGTCTGCGTGTTCCCAGGCGCCCGCGAGGCCTGGCCCGGCTCAGGGCAGGGGAGGCACCCCAAGAACGCCTGACTCGAGGCCTGCAGACCCCAGCTACCGCACGCTCCTCCTGTCAGGCCGAGGAGGCCCAGGGAGGGGCACCGACCCCTGCCGCACCTGGCGGGGAAGCGCCGAGGGGCCTGGTCTGTCTCCTCACGGCCTTCTCCCGTGTTTTGCCAGCGTGCAGGAGGCTCCTGGAGCAGGTGGTCAGCTGTGGCGGGCTGCTGCCCGGAGCCGGGCCTCCCGAGGAACAGACGGTCACCTGGTTCCAGTTCCACAGCTACCTGCAGAGGCAGAGCGTCTCTGACCTGGACAAGCATTTTGCCCAGCTCACCAAGGAAGGTAGGGGCTGGGAGGGTGCCGGCCTCCCAGCAAAAGGTCGTGAGAAGGGAGGACCATCCGTCCGCGGAGCCCCCTGTCCCGGCTCTCTGCAAGCCGGTTTCTCAGAGCCACTGCATGTTTCCCCTCCGCCTGTTCTCGGGAGAACCCAGGTTTGAGGAGATGGCGCCGTCAGCCCACGTAGGGGGGTTAGCTCCAAGGGAAGGTTTGACAGAGCACAGAGTGGAGGTCAGAGCTGGGTACGAGTGGGACGCGCGGCCAGCCAGCGTCCTCGAAGTAGGGGCTGAGGTGTTATTAATCTTCAGGGTGTATGTGATCCCTTGCTAGAAAGCCTTCCTAGAGGTTCCAGGAGGCCCCTGTGAAACCAATCCAGACTGAGCCTTGGTGATCACATGGGCCTGCGCTGGGCTTTGCTTCCCCGTGGCTCCTGGCAGCGGCCAAACGGACCTGCAGCCATACCGCCGACTGGTCCACTTGTGTCTTCCAGTGACACTCGTCGAGGAGCTGCAGTGTGCGGGGCAGGGCAAGACGGTCCGGAAGCTGCAGGGGAAGCGGCTGGGCCAGCTCCAGCCCCTGCCCCAGACACTAAGGGCCTGGGCACTGCTCCAACTGGATGGGACCCCGCGAGTGTGCAGGGCGGCTAGTGTTCACCTGGCTGGCGCAGCCAGGAACAAGAACTTTCGGGAAAAGGTATGGCATGAGGACGGGAGGCGGCAGCCCCCTGGCTATGTGTGTGTGAGTTGCGGGGAGGTTGGCTTTCTCTCTCAGAAAAGTACTCCAAAGGAGTGAGTGATGCTGTGAAGGGGGCGGCATTCGCTGCAAGATGTTTTGGTTTTTCAAAGATTTTGGTGTTTTAAGTAATCTCTATACCCGATCTAACTTACAACCCCGAGATCAAGGGTCGCATGCTTTACCGACGGAGCTGGCCAGGTGCCCCGAGACGTTCTGCTTTAGTTAGGCATGCGCCAGTGGCGTGAGCGCAGCCCTTTCTCCCGCCGTGGCCCTGGGCGACACCGGCCCTGCGGAGGTATCCGGGCTGGACTGGGCTGGGGCTGCCAGGCCAGCACCCGAGGATCCCACAGAACCTCACGCCACCGCCCGACCCCCTCGTTCCTCTCGGTGCTTCCGACACAACATATCCTACCCATGTGGTCTGTCGCTGGCATTTAGAATGAACGGGGCAAGACCGAGGCCTTCCAAAGGTCTCTTGGGCCACCCCATGGCCAGGTGCATTCTCACATGCTTCCTAAATGAAACCTGTGCCATTTTGGGAAGCCCGCGGCAGCGCTCTTCTGGCTGAGGTGGCCGAGGGGACGGGGCCATCGCTGTGACTGGGAAAGGGAGCCGAAGGGAAGAGATGCTTTGTCCTCGGGCCTCAGGCAGCAGCTCCGCTTTCGGCCTACAAGGCCGCCTCCCTCTGTACGCCCAATTCTTCGGTTGGCCCCGGCCAGACATCTGATTTCTCTGATGTCACATTTTATCTCGATTTGGGAACTATTATTAGACAAAAAGAGCATTCTTCATTTTGATTACCATCAGCCCAGGGACCAGTGTTTTTAGAGATAAACCAAATACTGCAGCAGACACCCCAAGACTGGGTACACCTGGCCCAAAGATGAATAGATCAGGGCCCGGATTCTCGTTTAGAGAAATATAAGCAGGGCTCAACTTATAGCCAGCATCGGGAGGACTGGCCAGCTCCCCCCCTCACAGAAACCTCATTCCCCAGGCTTTGCTTTTCTACACCAACGCTCTGACCGAGAACGATGCCAAACTCCAGCAGGCCGCATGTGTGGCACTAAAACACCTCAGGGTGAGTCTAACCTGTCCTCACCGGGGGCAGGGAGAAGCCCAAAGTTAGTTCATGTCAAAGTTATCCCACTGGGACCCCCCTCCCCAAAAATTACCACCAGCACAAAAAACAAAACAAAACAAAACAAAACAAAACAAAAAACTCAAAAAACAAAAAATCCTAAAGAACAAAAAACAGCCCCTGAAGAGCAGATGTCAGCTCCACCCGCAGAGGCCCCTCGATAGCAGTCAAGGAGCATTTGCTCTGACTCTGCCTGAACAAGCAGGTGGCCCCAGGGACTCACTTCTGAGGCCTTGGACTCCTATGTTGTAATATCCTCAAACAATTTCTAAAAGCACCATCAGCTCACTGTAGGGGAAAAAAAGGTGTAAAATACAGAAATGTAGAAGTTATCCATCATCCTAATAACTTAGCAGAAAGTACTGTTGGCATTTTGCTGTATTTCTTTTGTTTGTGGCTGTGGGGGGGGGCATTTAAAATCGTTGATCGTGCTAAATACAACTTAAAAGCAGTGAGTGAAACAGGAACTCTTAGTGGCAGGCTGGCAGCGCTTTCCAAGTCTCGAAGAGGCCGTCTTAAGTTAACGGACTCCCCCACTCTCGTGTGGTAGAAAATTGAGGTTCATCATCCATTTTTTTTTATTATAAATCGTGTCATTATGAGCATCTTTGTGCACCAAGCCTTTAAAAAAAAATATATGGAGTTCTGAATGATCTCCTTAGGCTGAACGCTCCGAAGCATGACTCCAGGCCAGAGAATATGGAACTTTTGGAGCCTCTAGGTACAGCTCAGCCACTTACATCCGCAAAAGCAGACGGGAGAGGATGTCCGTCTTGCCCCCTCCTCACCCGCATCTGGAACTCTCATTTTAGAAAAACCGTTGCCAGTCTGCTGGGTGAAAACTAGATTAAACTCACTCACCCCATTCATTCTGGAAAGAACCACAGAGAAATTCTAAGAGAACCAGCTGGTTATAATCAACCAACCAGTAAGGGGGTAGGGGTGGGTGCCCTGTGGAGGAGGCTGAAGGCGCTCTGGTCCTCGGCCCTGGAGGAGAGGACCAGGGTCAGCTGTGCCCAGACCTGGGCTCTGACCGATGCTCTCGGTCTGACCAGGAGGGGACGGTCAGGAGAGCAGGGAGGAGGCAGGAAGGTCCCGAGGGAAGCAGGTCTTCCCATTTTCAAGACAGGCCTTCTAGAAGGTATCCATAAAGCTCTGCCAATGGCCTGGCTCACGGGCAGGTGTCACGATGGAAAAGGTCAGGCACTTCCAAGGGCACTCCTGATGAACTTGAGGCCACATAAGAAACCTGTTAAGCCTTCAGAAAGGGAAGGGGCTGAGGTCCCGAAGTCCATGCCAGGGCTGGTGTCTTGCAGAGCTTATAAAACTGGATTCCACCTGCTACTGAGAATGTTCCCTAATGGATCCTCCCCCCCACCCCCCAACAGGGCATCGAAAGCATCGATCAGATCGCCAGCCTGTGCCAGTCTGACCTGGAGGCCGTGAGAACAACAGCCCGGGAGGCCACGCTGTCGTTCGGTAAAGTACAGCATCAAACGCCTGGACCTGGTGCAGTGGGGTGCCCCGAGGACCTCCGGGAGGTGGTGCCAGAGAGGCCACGGCCAGCACACAGGCTGGGCGCTGCTGGTGACCCATTTAACCGCATTTGGCCAAGACAGGTCTCCTTCATGGTTGAGGTGGCAAGAAGTGCTTCATTTCCCTCTTAAGCTTCAGTTGATGATCCCGGGGAACGAACACCAGATGCAAGGCAGGGACACAGTTCGGCAGATTCTGTCTTGAATGTAGCGGCAAGGCACTGGGTCCATGCGAGGGGCCGGCAGGAGCTCCCCCAATGCTCCCTGCCTCTGCCCCTCACAGCAGCACCCCAGACCCATGCGTCAGTCAGCACTAAGGCCACCTCTGCTCCCCAGAGCAGGCACACCGAGGCGGGGGGACAATCCAGTGACAGATCACCTTCATATTTCAGGTGAGGAAGGACGCTTAGCCTTTGAGAAGATGGACAAACTCTACTTGGAACAAAGAGAGGAGGCCTTTTGCCAGGAGGCGGATGTTGAAATCACGGTATTTTAAGCCTCGGCCGATGAGTTCCAATGTGGCATCTTTGTCTTCGCTCCTGCCCCGCCCTGACACAGGGGCTGAGTTTGGGGTGGGGGAACGGTCTGTGCTCCCCGCTAAGTGTGCGCTGGCCCGAGCTGCTTCCTCCGTCTCCAGACCAGTTACAAAGGCCAGGGGCACAAATGAGGCCTTTTCGTACCAGAGCAGAAGGGGCCGCACAGCACTTTGAGGGCTGTAGGACTCCAATCACACGATCAGCTTTTGCTTCGGAGAATCTGACCTTCCCCAGCCAGCGGCACTACCAAGGGGCCACGGCCCAGGCCAGATGAGGTCTGCAGCGAAAAGCTCCAAGAGGAACGCACGGCCCTTGGGGTCTCCCTGCGGGTTCTCGTTCCGTAAGGACTGGGAGTGAACTGGCAAGCGGGCTGACTGCTCTTGCTGAGGAGGACGCCGTGGGTTATGTCGGCAGCAGCAAGCCGTCCCCTCGGCAAGCTGGGGACGGTGGGAAGGCACGCAGCCAGGGTTCCACGAATCAGGCTCTTAACCCGAGCTACAGCCCAGATGCCACCGCAGAGCCTGCTGACCACGGACCTTATTCCCCCGGCCGAGGAACCCTACTTGTCATGTCAGCAAGAGCGTTCACTTTGACCTCACTCATCAACATGGAATGAAACTTCTGAAGCAAGTCAACGTAAGGCCTACTAAATAAACTGCTTCGGAAGTCATAAGCTGGTTTGAAAAAAGATTTCACTGAAGGAACATGTTTAAAGAAAGAAAGTTCATTTCCTATTTAAATCTATTAAAAACCCTCCAACACGCCCCAAACTGTTTTTGTGTGGAGCTGTAGAGGCAGCCTGGGGTATGAATGCGACACCTGACAAAGGCACTGGGGACTCTGTGACTGAAACCTTCTCATGTAAACTTCCTGTATATATTCTGTGCTTTTTGGGTGAACTTAGTATTTATTTGCCTTGTCCCCTAAATTTGATTTTCTGAAATTTCGATTAAAACGATTTTTATGGGTGTTTCCCCTTACCTGAAAAAAGTAGAGAGCAGTGGTTGTTTCCCCAAACCCCCCGGGGAGGGAAAGAGTGTCCCCTCCCAGCCCGAAGGCGGGCTCCCCCACACGCGGCTCTAATGGAGGGCAGCCCCACTGCCTCAGTGCCCTTGGCACCCCCGTGCTGGCGGAAGGCTCCCCGAGTGCCCACTCCCACAGATACCAAGCAGCACGGCCCCTCCCTGTCTAGCCCTTGGCCTCATCTGATTTCTGCACCAAAGTTCCGAGTTCAGCGATTTTTTTTTCCCCCACACTGGCATTCTACCTCTTCGTGAAAGCTTAGATGCCATTTTTGTATCTGAAACCAAGACTGAAGTGACAGTGGGTGTGACACCACCGTCCTGTGGCCACATGACCACAGCCCGTGTTTACTCCCCAGTTCTGCGGATCCTGCCAGGAGGCCCAGCGGCCAGTCATACCACCCTGGAGGATATAAGGGAATTTTTTGTACTGTTTTTGCAACATTTTATAAATCTGAAATTATTCCAGAGCAAAAAGTCAACCGATCACCTTAGAGAAGATTAACGGCGTACAAGGAAGGGAAAACTAGGTGACTTTTTTTTATCCCATCCTTTCTCCGTCCAGCGTGGCTCGACAGAGGTACTGAGAAGTGGTGACCGTGGGTCTCACGGGCAGCCGGCGAGGGACACATTCTGAGCAGTCCTCTAAGTAACCTGAGTAGGTTTGCTGAGGCCGCCCAGGGCCCTGGACGTCCAGAAGGTGGGTTCTGTCGTCATCCAAGAAGCTGGGTTGAGGCCGGAAGTGTCAGTAAACTGACCGGGAAGGGAACGGTCCCCCAGCTCAAAGGCAAGCACAACCCCAGGAGGCCGCAGTAACCCTTGGCCGCCTGACCGACAGGACCTGCTTCTCGGTGGTGGCGGCGGCAAGAAACAGGAGGTACCCGTCCTTTAGGCCCATTAAACAAAGGCATGGGAGGCACCCCAAATCCATGTTCTTTAGAAAAAAAAATTTTATTGTTGCAACTAAAATGCAAACCCATCATTTATATGGCAAGTTGGAAATCTGTACAGTTTGACAGTTCTGTGAGGTCACAGAAGACCCTGAGACGCGCCCCCCACCCCCCCATCATGCATCCGTGTATACACACACCTGAAAAGGTATTCTACCAAAACACCTCACTTTTTTGTGTGTTTTTATTTTTGTAAAAATGGTTTATTCCATGGCCATTATAAAAAATAATGACCTGATGAGTAAATATCGGCTTAAGGCATAGAGCAGAGCAGCTCACTACTTCTCTAACATACGTGTAACAAGATGGAGAGCCATCTGTTTTCCAAGGATAGGAGGTTAAACCAGTATATCCATTCTGAAAGGCTACTATATATACACACCCAAACTACTACATACATATACAGGACTTCAAAAAACAAACAAACAAACAAACAAGCCCAACTCAAAAATGCTTACAGCCTGGCACCTCAGCCTCATCCACACCTCACCAAGGCTCTGCGGAGCGATGCCTCAAACGTTCCCACCACAGAGTTTCTCTGCACGGGCTTCTAACACGTGAAAGGCAAAATGTGAAAATGCTGGCAAAAGAGCAGCTCGTGAGCTACAGCTGCCTTGTTTTTTGTTTTGTTTTTCTTGTTAAAAAAGCCACTTAACGTGGAGGTCTCAAGTTCCCTTGCAGGAAGAGTCGTGAGCACCATCAGTCCCCAGGATTCAAGGGCGGGGGCAGACGTGGCTCTCTCAGCAAGGCCCCCGGAACGGGGCGACGGCAGGTGGACTCCGAGGGACTGTCACCCAGATTGCTTCAGGACGTGTGGCTGGTTTCCAACAGTTGCCTTGGTTCCAAATCACCGTCTGCTCGAGAGGAGTGTGAACCTCTGAACGTGGAGGCTGATCCCCAAGGTGTTGGGTGGGGCGGGGGGGGATCCCTGCTTGCCTAAATGTCCAGAGCGTGAGGTGTGACTATGGCTTCCCATACCCTTGGAATGTCTGAGTTACAGTGCGACCCGGCTGGACAAGGCCAGGCCGGGTCTCACCAGGAAGTCACCAGAGTGTCATGCCAGGAATTCAGCAAATATCTCTTACTGGAAAACATCACTCCATTGCTGAATGGCGATGATTTTAGCAAGTCTTAGGAACCACAGCCACGGAATGATCAGATCATGCAAAGGTAGACTGGACTTGTACATGGGGCACATTAATAAGCAGAGAGCGAAGTATTTCAAGCACGTGGTATCTGATGAGGACACAAGACGACCGTCCATGCATTCTAACACACACAGGGAAAGCAGTGCTTGAGAACAGGATTCTACCAGATAACCGGGAGGGGGTAACTGGGACAAAGTAATCTCACGTCATGTATCTTAAATATCCAAATGTTCAGTATATATTATCCCGTGTTCTATAAACATATGCCAAACCTCTGCTCACCTTACCCACAATGTCACGAAATAACAACTGCTTACAACCGTCCTCCTTCCTAGTACTGGTCTGACGCAGCAGGCTCATGGCAAAGTCTTACGTTCCCAGCACTACCTGAGGGTTTATTATTGTCCTTTTTGATAAAGCCCTTGATGCAAGGCTGACATCAAAAATTTCTAATACATTATTGGTTTAAGAAAATGCTAGTGCACTATGGACGCCTTTGGGGAAAAAAACAAAAACAAAAAAATAAATATGGAGTGGAGAGGCTCACCGCACACAGTCTCTGTTGGAGGTCCAGGGGGAGGACACCGTGTGCTGCCCACCCGGGATGTGCTGGGCCACACCAAGAGGGAGCGTGCGGCAAAGCGAGCCTCGCGACTTGCGCGGGCCACCAGCACCGGACTCTCCTTTGCTCTCCTCAAAAAATGGGTGGTGGATTTGGTACTCGAAGGAAAGAGAGGGGCAACAAAGTCAAAAGGAGTAAGAACCAACAGCCCGGGGCGGGTGGTTTTAGTGCAGAACAAACGTCCGTCCAGGTCACGGCTGGCTACGCTGTCCTCAGCCCTCCCCTACCACGACATGCCTGCTAGGCGGGCACGGGCTCTGCCAGCAGAGGCGGGCCGGGGGGTGGGTCAGACTATGTGCTGCTGCTGAGCAGGAACTGGAATGAAACCGAACATTTTCAGATGAACCCAGCCCCCCCCACCGCAGAGCCGCAGACTCACGCACTAGCCCCACCCCCGCCCCCCTCCGGCCTCCAGCGAAGGGGGTTTCCTTTCTCTTTGACAAGAGCCCCCCTCCCCAAAAATCACCCCGAAGGAGAACCTTGTTTACATGTTGTTAAACCATCCGATGTACTCAAAGATGGTCGCTTGGAAAGAGATAAAATATTTAAAAATTTTTAAGAAGTCCTGTGAGGTGATTTCCATGACCAGAGTTTTGAGGCTAACCCTCCCTCTTCCCCTCACTTTAACAGCAACACACTTCTCACGTGTGGACTTCTACTGAAACAGCATTTATATTCCAAAGAAAGTGGAAATTTTTCCTTCTGGACCTCAATGGCAGGGCTGAGAAGCTGGTGGCCACCCTGCCGTGACCTTGGGCCCCGAGGCAGGGGCCTTGAGGAACCCCATTTGAGGAGGTGGGGGGATGAGGGCGGGGCCTGACCCAGACAGCTGGAAGGAGAAGGGACCGATGGAGAAATGAGCAACGGGAAACCGGTGGGGACACCCTGAGCAAAAGCAGAAGCTGGGCTTTGTTTTCTAGAGCTGGCCTTCTGTTGTTTCTCTTCTAAAAACGGGAAAGCTCGCAGGCACTGTCCGAGCTCAGTACGCGCACAGCAGAGGAAGCGACTGAGCAAGACCGCGCCCTAAACCCTTAAACCCTCTTCTCCAAAGGAGTTTACATTCGTAAAAGCATGGGAATCTTTCCCTGGGAAATCAAATATAAACTGTGTATCTGGTGACACCACCTAAGGGTACAAGAAAGTTTCATAAGTGCCTAGTCTTTTTTCCAGAAATAATAAAAGCTGCTTTTTATAAAGGTTAAAAACAACAATGTGTTGTAATTCTATTATTTTTTTTCAAAAACAAATAACAATAACCAAAAAGAGAGAGAGAGAGAGAGAGAGAGAGAGAGAGAGAGAGACAGACACATATTTGGCATTTTCTCTACTTACTCCTGAATAGGTTAAGGCCCTGAGATTAGACTCTCGTATAGTCTTGGGACCACAGGGCTCCTTAAAACCCCAGTGCATCAATCCTCAATTCTCTCTCGTTAGCCCTTCACAGTTCCAGACTTTAAAAACTTTTGCTCTGTTTCTTCTGAGACTGGCTCAGATCCTTCCACAGCACTGAATGCTAACGCCGGGCTGTCGGCCAGTGCTTTCTGTACACGCGGTCCTGCCAGCACGTCCGTCAGTGAAAACATACCCTGTAGCAGAGGTACGCGCCGGCCGTGAGGACCGTGGCCATGCACATGTTGACCAGGAAGGGCTTCCAGGGAGTCAGCGCCTGGTCCTGCTCCTCCTTGGGTGGCGAGGGCTCCCCCTGGGCAGGACCTGCCCCCACGGCCCGCCTTCTGACTTCAGTGTCTGGACTCGTGCTGCGGGGTTGGAAGGACAGAGACGGGTTACGCCTTCTGGGGAAGACGGGGGCGAGGACGCGACGACTGTGGCTGGAATCCCAGGGGAAAATGAGCCGCCTGTAAACAGACCTCGGCCGTACGGACACTGCCCTGAAGCCCACCTGTCAGACCTTCCCTCCCGCCCCACCCCAGCGAGGCCCAGGAGGCCCCCACAGCCAGGGTATGGTTCTGGAGACTCTCGTGGCCTCGCTGGTGATGGAGGGTGGGTAAGACTCTGCTGAGAAATACAGGCGCTGGGGCAAAGGTAGGTGCTACTCTGTCCTGGGGTTTGCTTGGAGAACGTTCCCCTTCAGATCGGGGAAGGCAATGGCGTGGCCCACAGGCTACCACTCCCTCCCCGGGCCCCCTACACAAGAGCCTTTGCTGCTGCTGACGGGAGGACATCACGCATGCCCTCTGTCCCTCAGCCCGCCCTGTCCCAGGCTCGAGGCCCCAGCATCAGTCCGATCCCGCCAGCAGGACGGCTTCTCGGGCCTCCTGCGTACAGCAGACTGGCTGCCCTCCTGGCGGCGGGCCGGAGCGCCCCCGCGGAGACCACGTGCACTGTGCTCTCATTCCAGGCCTGTCTCAGGAGAGGCTGAGGCCCTTCCTCTCCCCCCCTCCCGCCCCGCTGCCCTTGCCTCCCTCAGAGGCCCTGACCACAGGGTGTCCTGCTTCTCCTATGCATCTCCACAGCCTTCCTACCCCAGCAGCACCCCGTGTGGGGGGCAGGACCACCCTGAGGCACCCCCCCCCGCCCCCACCCCGGGAGACAGGAGGAAGTGGCACAAAGCACCTGCTTTTCGGCAGCCCGCCGTGAGGCCCAGGCTACAGGGCTGAGACCCGTGTGCATGTGGGCCCCCGCTGGGGTCCAGAGGCACAACTCCACTGTCTCCTGGAACTCTCTGGCTTTCAGCTTCCCCAACCCACCCTACCCTCCTCACCACCTCCGCACACACACTGAAAAGCACCCCTCCCTCCAGCGCGGTCGTAGCGAACGCAGAACGGGACACATGACGGACGGGACGCCGGTCCCGTGCCAGCTCTCACCTCTCTCAGCCTCAGCCCTTGGCAGGCCCTCAGACGGGGCGCGCCGGCTCGTCCGGAGGCCCCGGGAAGCTAGGCGTGTCTCCCTGCGGGACTGTCACTGAGCTGCTGCCGAGCACACCACCTGGCACGTGCTCTGGGAGGCCCCACTGGACAAGGCTCTCTCAAGCCCTAGAGCCAGATGTAACGTTGCTGTGATAGGGACCCAGTTGCATGAATGGCCCTGGTGACTTAAGTGCGTGGGTCAGGACTGGGGCCTGGCACTCAGCATTCGGCAAGGTGCCCACGTAAGGTTCTGATCATCAGTGTAGCCAGAGGACCACTCAGGCACGCACCATGTATAACCTGCTTTCTTGAGTATTACAATTCCACTGTCCAGCCACATTCACGCATTCCCGATCCTATCCTTTAACAGCTCCAAAATATCCCAGGGTAGGGAGAAAGCATGATTTACCCAATCCCTAGATATACAACCGGCTCATCTCTAATTTTTCACCATTCCAAATGATGCCTCAATGAATACCTCTACCTATAGATCTCTTTGGGCACCCGTTTGCAAAGTGTTGCAAACCAAATTTCTAGATGTGTACAAATGCCGGGTCAAAGCACGCGCTCATCCAGGAGGCAGGAACCAAGGGCACTGTCTCCACAGGCTTGGGCTCAGGCTCCCTCCCCTTCATTCTTCATGCTTCCACACCTCATGCAGGCAGCCTTCCTTGAGCACCCCGGGAAGGCAGAGTCTCTCTTCTCGCAGGCTGACCACCGCAGTGTGCACTTCCAGCCCCTTCCTGCCCACAGGCTCTCACCCATATTCCACTGTCCCTGTCCCAACAAGATGGTCTAGAACGCAGACCAGGGGCCATGTTCTAGTGAACTCAGTATTGCACATGCATCAATATGTGCTCAATAATCTTTGCTAAATGGCAGTAAGTTAATCAAGACTGCACGAAAAGGTTAAATTCCCAGAAGGACCATTCTGGGGGCTGAAAGTACATGGTCTAACCGGGACAGCATGTTTCAGGACTGGCTGGAAGCCAGGGGCAGGGCATGGTCATCTCTCGGCGGGACTCGGTTACACGAATCCCTGATTCCAACGGGCACCACAAGGTGGTGCTAGAACCCCACTGAAGGAGGTCCCTTGGGGGCGGGGGGAGGGCAACCTGGGGCCGCCTCAGATGCCCCTGGCTGTAGGAGGATGATGGTGATGGTCCAGGAGTCCCATTCCCCAAAGACACAGAGGCAATGCTTGCCAAGAGGAGGCCGTGTCCTCAGGGTTTCAACAGTAACGTGTTTCTGGATCAGAAGGTCAGTCCCCCTCACCACCGAAAGGCCAGGCCCCCCTGGCCTTACCTTTCCAAGCCGCAAGGGACATTTAAGGGGGCTCCGGTTTCCTCCTTGATGGAGCAGGCTTCTTTATCCTCCCCAGTTTCGTCCTTCACCCACTGGTGGTTGGGGAAGAATTCCTTGCACTTCCCATTATGTGGCTCCAGGATTCGTTTGGGGGGCCGGGGAGGAGGGGGGACGTGTTCGGGTGGGGGCTCCAGGTCCTCATGGGAGAGCTCCTTCCATTGCTCCTAGGGAAAGCGGCAAGAGAAAAGTCCCATTAGTACTCACAGTGGGCTGATCTGTCAGGAAATCTGCTCCCCTTTAAAGGGAGTAGAGGTGAGGGGCGCTCTCTGCTTCTCTGCTTCCTGAGGCTACAGACACGTATACTTGGAGGATGAAATCTTTTGAGAACAAAGTCTATTCTCCCTATCAATGTTCTCTACGTCAGCACATCCAAGGCAGAAATTGGATCACAACTTTCTAGCTATTTAGCACACGAAGGATAGCTATTTCTTCTGACACATGACAGAGTATTTGAACTTTTACAACTGACAGCCTCCTTCTTCATAGACAAAAATTCAAAATCAACACACCTGGATGCAGGCAGAAGCAAGGCTTACCTGCACTGAAGCGTCTCCCATGATGAATTTGGCACCTTCGATCACAGCTAGGTAAGAGAAACGGAGCTGGTCTGCTGTCTGGATCAGTCCCATCCGAAACTTCCTCATTTCTAACAGAACTTTCTTGATGTCGACAGAAGAAGGGTCTTTCCTCTTGTCCATCTGAAAGCCAGAGAGGAGACACCATTCAGCCAGCCCCACTCCCAAGTACAATGTGATTTTCAATGTTCTGGAAGAGTCCTCCAGTTTCTACTTGGGAAAAATCACAGTGGGGAGGCAGAATTCTAGCAAATGTGTGAAAATGCAGCAAAATCAGGACCACTAGAGCACAGGGGAAAGAGTACAAGAAAGGAATTCTTTGGGTCTTCCTGACGCCACATTCCACTTAAGAACATCCCTCTGAACAAAGCTACTTAGCTTAGAGCTACTTTCACAGGAGGAAAATTGTTAAAAATTGAAGATCCTGGCTAGTTTAGTGCAGAGACCATGACAGAGAAGCTGGGGGCAGGCCATGGGAGGGGGGCGCTAAAATGGGCTTCCTTCTCCTCCCGGGGCCTCCAGGGGCCTCCTTACCAGCAAGAGGCAGGTGTCAGCCAGACAGAAGGTCCCCGACCTGCCGATGCCGGCACTGCAGTGCACCACGACAGGGCCGTGCTCTGTGCTCAGTGACCCCGACTCACGAACTTTAAAAAGAAAGTTCAGGAATGAAGCTGGCGATTCGGGGACTCCAAAGTCAGGCCACGTGGTATAGTGGAAATGTAAGATCTCTCGAGTTTCTTGAGACTGAAAGAAAGAAAGAAAGAAAGAAAAAAAAAACAAAACCCAACAACTCATGATGATTCTAAGAGAATCATCTGTACAGAAATCACTGCTTCCAAGCAAAGCACCAAGTGTACCCCCCCATCTAACTCGAAGAACAGCTTCCCTTCTCAGAGTTCTTTCCGTCTACTCACCCAGCCAAGAAATACCAAGCACTGGGGTGCCCGACACTGGACCCGGAGGCTGCTCCCGCCCTCGACTTCCCCCTTCCTTTAGCGTGGGAACGTTCTCGCCTGCATCTCTCCTCCGGTGCCCCATCCCCTCTGCTGTCTTCATGGTTACAAGCGATTCCTCCCCATCCCACAAGTCACAATGACGCCGCGTGGGCGCCCACGACAATCCTGTCCTAAAGCACCGTAAGGTTTCCCATGAACGAGTAAAACGCGTAACTGCACGTGTGTGGCACCAGCTCTGGGTAACTCAGGGCCCTACAAGACTATCTGGAAGTCTCAGAGGATTGTCATTTTAGAGAAAAAACCATCTCAGTCTCCAAAGACTGGTAGCTGTCAGGTGCGGCTCGATATGCAGCTGAAGAGGAGGGAGTCAACGCCAGCCCCGCCGGCCCCGCGGCGTCCCAGCGCTGGACTCAGCAGCATCCTGAATTCGCACATCGACCCCGCAAGGCCTGTATTCCCATATTCCCATTTTCTCGACTAGGAAACTGAGGCTCGGAGGCCAACCCTCCATGAAGTGAGGAAACAGGAGTCAAAATCTAAGTTTGCTTGACTCCAGAGCCCATGTTCAGAGCCTGCTGCAGAAACTTCTGAGATGAGGGCTCTGGCCCTTGTCCCCAACTGTTTCTCCCCCTGGCCCCGTCTGCTCCCAGTGGAACAGAATGAAGAATGGCCTCTGGTGCCATTTCCAGCTCTGCTCCTTCCTCTGAACCTATGAAGAGTCCAGAGGCCTGCTTACCAACAATGCCTCCCATCGCTTAGCAAAATGTCCACAACGTGCCTACCATGTGCCAGCCAACGTGCCTGGCAGCATAAGGTAAAGACACTGCCCTTGCCCTCCCAGAGCTTACAGCTTTAGTTCTAACAACCTCCCTGGGCTCAGGGTGATGAAAACTTGCCGAAGAGCCTACGATAAACACCAACGACTTAACATCAGCAAAGAATACACGTACGGAACCCTGCACCAGCTCTGACACACGGGTACCCTTCTGCAGAACTGGAAGAATCTGCAGATGACATTAGGATCATTTATAGAACCACCCGGGGCAATGCCATTTTTTCCTCCCTAGAAAATGGTCTCCTTGTATGGCTTAAAATGAGAAATGCCCTTTCTCTTTTTCAGGGAAAGAAAAACACTTAAAAATAGATTTTTAAAATGAAGTAAGAAGAAAATATACCAAAAGCAAGTTCCTTCTTTAATCATTAAAAAGGTGTAGATCATCTCCTGTTGACACCCTCCCTCACAGCTGCCCACCTCTTTCTCAAGGAATTTGTTCTAAATCTCTGCTTGAAGAGATACACCTCTGAGAAAAGAATTTTTAAAGAACAAAGTCTGTTAGGGCAAACAGACCTTCCCAACATCAAAACCTCCACGCTGCGGCAGGTGATCCGCCATGCAAACAGCACGAACCCCTTCTGCTCCATCTGAATTCCATTTCCCCTCAACAAACGGGAGAAATTTTCTCAAAGTTTACCAGAAGTCCCTCTGAATGTCAGGCCTGAAAATTTTAAAAAGCATGAAAAAGAACGTCTATGACATAATCCTCCAGGCACATTCCACCACGCTGCCAACATTATTCCTGAAAATCCTCCATCAAGCCCTCCATAAATCACAGCCTCGGAGGCTGGGTGTGGGGCTGCCGCAGGCTCGGGCTGCAGAACGCTCGCATGGAGAAGAGTCGGCGCGGGCTCAGCTGCACCACTACATTCCACAAAAAGCCACGCAAAGCCACGCAAAGCCACGCGACTTACTTTCCTCTGCTTCGTGGTAACCGGCGCTAAGTTCTAGATCTTACTTCAGTGAGGAATTCAACAACAGGAGTCATGTGGACTGGAAAGCAGTCAGCTGAAAACTAACACGTGAGCAGAACTCAGGGGCAGCCCCCCAGCAAGCCCCCACCCAAGTCTGCACTGCTCCCGCCTTCCCTCCAGTCTGGGCGGGGACTGCCCTGGATAATCCGGTCACTTCAAGCCCACAGAACCTGCTAACCCTTCCCGGCACGTGCTCTGAGCCTGCTGTCGCTCTAACATTTCGCTATATTCCCTTCTGAACCCTTACAAAAGCCCCATCTGAAAGCGGAGGAAACTAAGACGCGGTGAGATGTGATGCCCCTCCCCGAAGTCGGACAGTCTGACGTGGTGGGGCCAGGAATCCAGCCCAGGGAGTGGGCCAGAAGGGAGTGGCGACCGCCATGGACAACGCCGTCCCCAGGAGCTGCCGGGAGCTCCCTCCCGCTGCTGCGAGCTCTGGCATAGGGTCCTTCGGGTGATGGCTCCTGGTGAATTATTTCGAATCCCCAAGGGCAGGGTCTTCTGTGGTACTGCTTCTTAGAGCACTGTGCCTTGCTTGACCTGTTCCAAGACCATCTTCCAATGAGAGCTAGCAGCTGGTGTTAGAAGTTCTTCCCATGACAAATAAGCCCAAGACCTCACTTAGAAAACGTATACAGACTATGACCTTGGGAGTCAGTCCCAGAAGGGCCCTTCTTCCCTCACTTCAAGCTACAGAGACTGTGGACAAGGAAAGAGGCAGCGGCTGCTACGTAATCTGCGGCCCCACCACTTCAGTCCCTCTGTAGTTGCAAAGACAGGAACAGAGAGAAGTTTTAGGTGAGAAAGTCCCTTTTCCCTGGAAACCGTGATGAACTAGTGTTACAGTTCAGGGAGAGAGTTCTGTGGAGGAGGGAACTGAGGACACCCCTGGACACCCCCGCCCCGCCCCCAGCTCCCCTGGTATATAAGCGGGTAAGCTCTGCTTTCAACAGGGCTAAGACCACACCTTGCTCAGAGTGTACAAAACTCGGAAAAACTGGCACTAGGTAATATCACCCAAGTAGAAAGACCTCTCAAGCAGCGGTCGTGGGAAGGATGAAGTACATGGCATACTCACTGTAAGGTTTTCCAATTCTAGCTGCCGTACTGTGTAATACGACTTAATATCTTCAGAGATCAAGGTTAATTTCAAATTTGTGTCTTCAAAGATCATTTCTTTTTCTTCTTTTTGTGGCCAGTACTGCGCACATTTTAACTAGGAAAGAAAATGATGAATTATTATAAGCAACGGACTGTTTTTCCCATGAAGAGAGGTATGGAGTACCTTCTATGAGCTTCAGGACAATCCAAAGGAAAACCAGGGGTTTTCTGACCTGGGAAGTCACCATCAGCAATAACCTACCTGCCTCTTGGGGAGATGGGGGGAGGGGGTTAAGACAGAGGGCTAGTTGGGCAGAGAGGGCTCAGACCTCCAAACACAGCTGCTCCCCAAACAAGGAGGTGCTTCAGGGGTCTGGCCCTTCTGGACCATCTACGAGGTGAAGAAAGACTGTACCAAAGCTTTAGTCTCTCACAGACTACTTTGTGTAGCCATTTCAAAGATTACCAAGAACCGGATCAGTGCTGCTGGCACAATGCAGACCTCTTACCCCAGGGGAACAGAACCCAGTCTAGAAGAGACTGTGGGACACTGTGAAAACGCTGAAGGGCTGTAACTGAATGTTTAGAGAAGGCGTGGAGAGGGGCTCCTCCAAGGCTTGGGGTCACCTGCTGCCCCATCCCACCCTTTCATTCTGGTTTGGCTCAGTCCCAAAAAATCCTTTTGATTTTCTAGTTTAATGATTTCAGGAACTATTTGATGGTCTTCATTTAAGTACAGCTCATTAACTTTTTCTTCAAAGCAAGCAAACTCCCAAAGATTTGGTTTCACTTAGAGTTTAAGAAAGAAAATTTGACTCAAACTTAGTGGCATACTTTGAGTCAAGTTTCTATACCAGACCTTTCTGTTTGGTGATGAACATTTTGGACCAAAACAGCAGGTAGATGGGGGCTAAGCTGTAAGGTCTACGAACCAGAGGGTCAGACGATGTGCCTAGACAGAGGGAACCCCAAAGACATTATGATTTCCATCACATGAAATTATCGAACTAGCTCTTTGGGAAATGGTATAAATTCAAGCCCACTGCAACTGAACACGCACTGGCCCACCAGCACCCTCTCTGAGGCACAGGACAAGCTGCCTGAAATGCCACAGTAGGTGGAGGGAGCCCCTCCAGGCCCAGCCTCTTTCTGTTAGAAGAGACGGTTGGTGCAGATCAGTGACAAGGGGGCGTAACAGCAGTAAACACTATGGATGTGCTGTGGGAATCCAGAAGAGGCAAAAGTTCCAGGCTGGCTGAGGTTACAGGCAAGCGATCAGAGAAAACCCTATGGAAGGAGTGGCCTCTGTCATGATCCCAGGGTCCTGAGATCGAGCTCCACGCATCAGGCGGGGAGTCTGCTTCTCCCTCTCCCTCTGCTCTCCCTCACCGCGTGCTCTCTCTCTCTCTCTCTCAAATAAATAAAACCTTAAGGAAAAAAAAAAGATGTGGCCTCTGACAGAGGCATGCTCGGAGGGATGACGAGGATTTCCCAGTGACTGCCCAGAAGCCAGTCTCAGAGGAGCAGCAGGGAGCAGGGCCAAGGGAAGACCAGACCACGGTGACTCTGGCGGCAGGCCCAGAACCCGGTGTCACCTGGGCAGTGAAGAACCAGGAGGCTCCTGAGCAGAGTGAAGACAGAAATCAGGAAGGCCCACTAGTCCTGCCCTAATGAAGCTGCACGCTACCCGAAAAACAAGAGAAAAAGAAGAAACAAACCAAGAAACACCAGACTGGGATGCCGACATAGCACCAGACGTCATGGTCCTGAAACAGAAGGCCAACAGGGCCTGGACCGGGCCTGTTTGAAAGACCGGGCCAGTTTCACCCACATTCCCTCCTCACACCAATGAGGAGTTGCCAAAGATGAACCCCTGGAACAGGACCAACCTGTCAGCATCAAAGCAATTCTGCCCCTCAGAACCCGAAAGTATCAATGACATGGCGAGGTCCCCTCCTGAGCCAGAGGGGGTGGGGCAGCTGGAAGGGAGACTTGAGTAGAGGCTTCAAGGATGCACTTCTCCTCCAGTAATCAGACCCGTGCAATTCCTGAAGACCCCAGAGGCAGACAGACCGCCCTGGTGGGTTCCACGGCACGTGTGCTGGAGCGTGCCCCCAACGCCCTGAGCGGAGAAGCAGAAACACAGGACGGCTGGGTGCTACCAAAGAAGAGGCCAGTGCTTTCGGGTCTCACGGGCAGGGAAGAAGAGTCTTTGACATCTCACCTCCACACAGCAAACACTCACTTTCAAAACCGAATATAAAGCCCAGTAAGTCTCCGTGATCTGGGTAAAGACCAAGACTCTGGAACTCCCTCCACTAGTGCGCAACTCTGGCGCACACTAAGTGTCAATCCAGCAGTATTTATTTTTTAAGAGCTCTCAGGCATCCACAGTAACATGCCGTGCTCTGCTTGCTGTCATTTCCTGTAGACATTTCTGTTTTAACACACAAAATACAACAAAACAATAAGCTTAAGAGCACTACTTGCTGCTAGTTTATTAAACTGATCCATCCCACCCTGAGAAGGAGATTTATTTTATTAGAAAGCAGTTCTTCACCAGAATTCAAATTGTGCCACATCCTGGGTCAGCAGCAAACGGCGGCGCCGACGTGCTGGGTGTCTGCCACAGCCGCCCTTCCCACCTCGAAGCTCGATGTGAGAGAGAGGCCTTGGGGCCTTCCAAAACAGCGAGGCAATCTTCAGAAAAATCCACGAATGCCACCTGGGGTGACCCTGTGATGCAGGATTTGGCTTTCCCAAGGAACGATGAACCAGAGAGCTGACTAAGCAAATGGGTGAACCCTGACGTTCCCACGACACAAATCCAGAGGCTCACCGTGCACAAAAGTACTGAAGTCAAACAGCACCTTTAGTCAGGGGTTTGGGAGAGAGATACAGGCGATGTTTCTGGTTAAACATCGCCTTGTTTATTTCTGCTGCCTAAACAACAATCCCCGCCCTTACACACCAACACGCTCTTCCTGGACATGTCTCAACTCAATCTTTAACTCGAACCCGCAAGAACTTGGGCTACTTGGATGAGCCCCGTCTAACACACACAATCATTTTCTGCACCACTGTTTTCCAGGAAGCACATGGTCCCAAAAGAGTAACAGGCAGGTCTGCCAAAAATAAGAGGGGCACATCCTATACTATTCAGAGAAGGAAGGAAACCAGAAAACAAATATGCACTGCATGGAAACGCTCTGCAAGCTGGTTCTTACCATGGGCTGTATGCATAGTTTGTAATTAGATCAGCTGAGCAAATAAGACACCGCAACTTCTTAGAATTTTCCCCAGTCAGCTCTAATGGGGATGACAATGGTGATGCCGAATTGAAATTGCTGATCCCAAGAAACTTTAAGAATCTCAAACCACTCGCTGCTTTCCACGCCAGTGCGCATGCCTGAATGACCCTGAGCAGGAAGAGTAGTTACACAGGAAAACAGAGACTACTGTCACATGATCACAGTAAACTACATGAAAACCAACTAGCCAGGTTTCCCTTTTTTTTTTTTTTTTTTTTTAAATGGCCAAGGGGAAAAGCTGTCCATTTACAGTCAGCCTTGGATGGGACACAACCAAGAGCAGGCCTGGGGGCCAGCATGCAGCTATAGGGTCAGGACAGCACCCTCGCCAGACTGGGCCAACGGCAAAGGGGTTTCACGAAAATTCAGTAACACTCAAGTAAAAAGGGAATGCTACCATACCCGATGATTTCTGAATAAATGACTCAATTTAAAATTCCCAAACCCTCCACACCATCTACAACAGTGCTTCTCAACGGGGGCAATTTTGTGTCCCAGGGGACCCTGGACAATGTCTGGAGACATTTTTGACGGCCCCCTGTGGGCAGCGCCGAGGCCCCGAGACCCCAACGGCTCACCAGTGCCGAACATGTGCACAGGCCACCATGTCTTGTCTCACTTTCCCTTGCAGAGAGTGTGTGCTGTGGGAACCTAAAGCTTGTCTCTTTATTCAAAGTTGCTGACAAGAGTGGTGACGGGTGGAATCGCATTTGTAACTTCACATTTTACTAATCAAGCCACTGAAGCAGAAATCATCAAAACCCACTTCCACTGAAAAAATTTTCTCAGAAGCATTATTTCATTCTTTGAACACTCAGGTAAGCTCTTCATCTGTTATTATCAAGCAAAGAAAAGCTTTAAGAAAAGGGGGCTGAGGCAAAACCCAGGATTTTAAACTTGTGCTGCTGTAAGGGGACCATCTGCCGTGACTAAGACTGCCGCTGGGGGCGCGCGGGGGGGGGGCTCTGCGGTGAGTGCTTCCTGTTTCACTACGGGCGTTTCCTTTGATGTGTTACTTCTCTGCACTTGCATTTGTTCCCTCCAGGGCCATGACTGTGCTTTCTTTGGAGGGGCGGCTTCTCTGGAGCCTGCGTGCTGTCCTGGCCAGCCCAGTCCGAGGCAGCCAGGCCAGCTGCAACAGCAGTGGCTTGGCTGAGCCCGAGCGTCGTGCCAGCACCTGGCAAGGCCCGGGCACACGCAGTTCTCTGTGCCTGGGCTGTCCGCTCCTCCTGATGTCCACATTCATCAGCCCATCCCAGGGCCTCCCCCGCTCTGAGGCTGGAGAGCCCCCAGTGTGCTGGCCGTGGCGGGAGAGGAGGGAAGGAGCCAGGGTAGCAGGGGTGTGGCGTCTATTCGCTCCGTTTCTGCCACACTGTGCCCTGCACACCACGTCGCCTTCCCTGGGAGACAGGCCTCCAACAGGCAATCTGCAGAGTGAGGGGGTGGAGGGAGCACGGGCGGTGGCTGATGCGAGGGAAGCACCTGGAGATACCTGCCAGAGAGCTGGGGCTGGGCGGGGACTCAGATTCTGTTAGGCCAGAGAACCTGGCAAGAAACTAACAGCAGAAGTGTGTTCTGGCTGGAGTCTGGAGATGGAGGTGGGAAGTCGGGGTCCAAGTTAACTTGGTCCTGTAGCCACATTATGCACATCCCCGGAGGCTGTGGGGGTCACACAAGGGTTTTTGGCTCAGAAGAGGTGTGGTGACACTTGGGTTTCAAAAGACCGTTCTGGAAACCGGGGGTAGGGTACCCGGAAGAGAGCAAGTGGAGAGGCCACGGCGGCAACCGCAGGGACAGATGCGCGGAGGGCACTGCCTGAATCATCACGCACCTCCAGCTCACAAGCTATCCTGGGGGATGTTTAGAGAGTTGCAGAGAACTCGGGAGAAACGCTAACACAAATCCTGCTGGAAACACACAGGCAGACAGCATCCATGTTAAAGAGGCGGCCGGGAGCCAGGCGTCTGCGTATCTGACAGAGGCTAATCCCGAATGTGGCCACTGCCACAGCTCCCTAATGGAACAGCAGAACACACACGGGCACTCTGGACAGGGACCGAGGGGGGGGGGGGGGGGGGGGCGGGCGGAGGTCCAGGGCAACTGGACTTTCCCCCTCTTTTTAATTCATTTGCTTTTCTGACTATAAACTTGTTATTTATATAATGCTTCTTTAAATTTTTCTAATAAAGAAGATATCACGTAAAAGAAATATAAAAGCAATGTAAAGAAATAAACTCAGACAAAAATGTCAACTTCACGGACTGGGATACACATGGATGGTGAGGTAAACAGGAGATAAATCCATGACTTACCGATCCTTTCTCCATCACTCTGTTGAGCATGACAACGCCCCTGCTTTTCTGCTCCCACACCATCTCCCAAAAGTGACCACACGTGTTAGGCAAAGGGCCCTGCAAATACACAATCCACAAAGTGTATACCATTTTACACACCGACACGCTCCAATGCGAGCACACCACTGGCGGTTGGCAGACGACAGTGCCCTTTGGCAGAGTGGTGGCTGGGGCTGGGGCTGGGGCTGGGACAGGGACCGCCCTCCTCCCCGCCTAGTGGTCAGTAACCTCAATTCTCTTTTCCGCCACGCGGTGAAAGGTTATTTCTGCCTCGCAGGGCTGGTTTGGGGCTGACCCACAGAGGAGAGAAAAGGCTGATTCTGCTCTCTGGTGTGAGATGACTGGCGGAGGGGCTCCACCGAGGTCCCTCTGGAGTGTGGGTGGAATGTGGAACAAAGCTAGTGGGTGCAGGCAAGAGGCAGTATGGGGAAGCAATCCGCAGCGACACTTCCGGCGGCTAGAGCCTCAGCTCCAATCACTTATCATCCACGTGACCTTGGACAAGTCACTTCACATCTCCAGGCCTCAGTTTCTCCACCCACTGCTCTCGACTCGTCACAGTCCTTATTCACAGGGTTGTGAAAGTTAACTACGTTCACAAATGTAAAGGCCTTACTTACCGCAGCACCTGAAACACAGTAAACAGCCAGTAAAACGTTAGCTGTTATTCCTATTAATAATGATGGACCTGACCATGGACTGCCTTCATCCTGGGACCGAGGAACATAAGAGATGTAGACACAAATGATCAGTAGGGTGGCCCAAGGGGTCCGGTGTGGGCACCAGGACACGGTGGGCTGCCTGCCAACCCAGCAATGGGCACAGATGTTTTCTGGACACAAGAAAACGAATGCCTCTGCTATGTGTCAAGTGTCAGTGCTGCCTGGAAGGGACATCACCTCTCCCCTCCATGACAGAGCGTGTCACCTCCTCCAGCCAACACCAGGTCTACAATGGTTTCTAGTCTCACCTTGTCTCACCCAAACTCTCCCGATTCTTTGCAGCCGTTCCCTTCAGGTCCCACCACACTTTCCCTGACCATGTGAGCCCTCAGCGCCCACACACTTCCCTGAACTCCGCTCCCTCCTGCTGCCTAAACCGGGCACATCCACGCTCCACACAGAGCCTCAGACAACAGCGCTCAGATGCATAACCCTCTCCAGCCAATTAACAGAAAAATGGCTCCTAGAAGACAGGGGTCCCGGGGCCTCCTGGCTGGCCACCTGGGTCTTTCATCCTGCAGCTTGGGCACGAGGACCAAGTCTCACAGCTGTGGCTCTTACCAGTTACCAGCCTGTCACCGTCCCCACTCCCCATCACCCTTGTTTAGGATGGGTTTCAGGGATGAAAAATCATACAAGATCCGAACGGAGAACTCAGCCAACGATTCACTGTGGAAGTGACAGAGGGCACCTTTGACATTATTCTCTACACTTCCATACCATTGCCTTAAAAAAAAAAAAGACTACAGATTTGTATTATTTGCATAATGAACACTGAAAATTTAAAAAATGGGCAGGGTTTTCTTGGTTTTGTGGCTTGGAAAATATGTCACTCCTACTGTCTAGAGGTACAACTCTGGGGTCAGGTTACTTCGATCCCTTTTACAAATCCCAGGGCAAAGGGTGACCGTGCAGGCAGCTAGACGGTACAACCTGGCAAAACAGAGAGACCTTCTGCTGTGCCAAGTAACTGCTGGGGCATGGGGGTGGGGAGGATGGTGGTATACAGTTTCCATGGTGATATCCTAGCGCTCCATTTGACTTTATACCCCTACCCGTCTTTACTTTGGACTTAACCCCACACCAAAGTTGAATGGCTAAAATCAGGAAGTAAGAAACTTGCCTTCTAAAAAGAGAAGTTACCAAGAAGCTGCTTTTCCCTCAACCTCTTCCCGCCAGCCTGCCACTACAAGGATCTCCTTCCTTGTCACCCTACCCCAACCACCCCGGAGGTGCTAGGAAGACCACAGCCTGAGGTCTGGTAAAAGGTCTGCCCCCTACACATATACCAAGCACTTCCTCAATGGCCCCGGGACTGAGCACGGTGTGGCTGATGTTCCATGCACTGGGAGGCACGTGGGCTGATGCTCCTCATGGACAGAGGAACTGGGACATGACAAGACTGGGCAGCAAAAAAGGGCCATGGCAACTATGCTCTGATCCAGCTCCCTGCCCCAAGGCAGCCTTCGTTCATATGCTCTCTGGCTTCACTGTCATTTTAACCTCCCAGTATTAAAGAGAAGTACGATGTTCAAAATCACCCTATACACCAAAGCCATACAGAACACTGACGAATGGATATGGAATGAGAAAGCAAAAACTACGACTAAAAAGAGAGAGAAACTTCACGTATTTAGAGCAACTTACAGGTAACAGACTAAGACTTGAGAAAATGAATTAAAAAGAAACTTCTCTATCCTCTTTCCCTGATACCCATGGTCTTGGGGTCATACGCGAGTAAGTGTTTCACAAGAATGTCAAGTATTAAATCATTTTTGTGATTTTTTTCCCACAAAGATGCCAAAAGCCAATGGGAATTTTAAATGATTTTGCATGCTTGTCCACACAATCTAAGGATGCTTTTTTTCTGGGCCTAAGAATGAAGACCATGCCAAGGAATTCTGAGCGGACACCTGGATGAAGATTACTGGTCTACTGCTAACCCTCTTCGATTCCCATGAGCAGCCTCGATGCTCTGAAGTGAACACTTACGGAATCAACACAGGTGCGGGCCCTTCTCTTGCCACGGCCCTGCTGCCTCTGGCAGTGGGCCCACAGGCAATTCTGGCATTTCATGCTGTTTTCTATAAGCCCAGCAGCGGTGTACTTCCCAGAAAAGATATGTGTTACAACCAAACAGAGTTTCTGAAGGAAGATTTTTTTTCCTTCCTCGTTGCTTTTTTTGGATTGTGTACAACCTGGCCTTCTAAAGGATGTGACAGATTTTATTTGAAGTACAGATGACAGTACTCTGAAATTCTTAAGTTGACATCAAGTAAGGCAAAAACCCATTAAAGAAAATCTTGGACAATCCAATTACCTGGGTAAGAATGTAACTCCTCTGGGCTTCTTCCATCTTTATCAAACTAGCATTGATGTAGTCATTCTCTTCTTGATGCAGTTTAATCCGACTATGGTCAACTGAAAGGCAAGCCAGAACTCAGATGTTAGTCCTGGATGACCAAAGTGTCCACACAGGCAGTGCACCCCACGGGGAAAGCAAAAAAGGTGAGTCGGTGGCATTAAGGGCATTCACACTGGCTGAGGCCATGTTGTTTTAACTGAGATTAGTCATCAATATGAGGAGGACTTAGTATTTTCAGAAAGGTTTCTGGAAGTGTTTGAAACTTAATGCTAAACAGCAACAGAGACAAACTACACTGAAACATGGGTTCTGTTCTAGTTGGACAATCTATTCTGAGGTCTTATCTTCCTACACTTATCACTGCCCCACAACTCAGGAGGCTGTGAGGAGGGGGTGCCAAGGGATCTGTTCTTGGATGCCTAATATATACTTTCATAAGGTAAAAAAATACAGTGGATTCAATCTTTAAAAGGGAAAAAAATCCACCAAAAGTTTCACCCAGTCCCTAGAGCTCTAGTTGGTACAATGAGCCACAGTAGGTGGGATTTATGATCATATCTCATATGGTTTGAAGATGAAATGACGTAAATATATAGTGGTGTGGGAAGGGTTACCTTGAATTCCTTTATATTAAGTTTTTTTCTTTTTTTTTTAAGTTTCGAGTATAATACACTTGAACGATTCTAATCTATGAACAGAATTCAATTAGAATTGAATTCTAGTATTTCAAATTCAGGAACTGTCATGATCAAAGACATTTAAAAGATAATTAACCGGAAAAAATAAACTGAATCCAAAACACCGGAAGTACATTAAATGTAACTTTCAGAATAGTTTTTAAAAATAAACTCTCATTTGGAAGGTCTGCCCCAGGTTACTGAAAGTGCATAGCCACTTTTTTTCCCTTTTACCATGACTTGGTCACAAAAGCAGTGGTTCCCCGAGGGCTACTTTCCTTATCCTGCTAGTGTAGCTAACAAGAGGAGGTAGGTATTTTTTATTTCCGGTACAACACAAGGGAGGATGAACTTGGGTGACCACTCGTGAATACTATCTTCTCTCCCCTAGCCCAACGGGAAAGGAGAAGTTAATGGGGACACACGGTTTAGGGCTTTTTGTTCTAAAAGATTGCAAGGAAATGTTTTTAAAAATTAGTCACCATTTGGAATAATGTTTTTCATCACAGAGGATTAATACAAATTGAAATACTTGGGTAATATTTAAGTCATGGAGATAGATCTCAGGACAGATGACGAGACCACATAACCCTTTGGTGGGTTATACGAATGGGTTCAAACAGTAACTGGGTGACCTTGGCCAGACAACTCCTCCTCTGAGCACTGGGCTTCTTCACTGGCCAAATGGAAGACCGACAAAAGATCACTTTCTACCATGAATCATTCTCCCCATGTCCTCCATGACCTTAAGAGCAAATTATCTGTCCTGCTGGACAGTGGAGTTGGGGGAAAACAAGAGAAACAGGAGTGAGAATGGGGTGAAAAGGTCTGGGAGTTGTTTCCTGCGAAGAATATTTTAATGACCTTCCCCCCCTCTGTAAAACTGGCTCATAAAACCACTGAGCCCAGATGAGAAATGTAGAAAAGAAATATTAAGAGGACATCACTGTCTAGTGCAGAGTAAGGACGGCAAGGGGCTCTCTTGGCTTCGCATGAACGATGCCAACAGTGTTTTCTTTGATGTTCAGAGTTGCTGGTTGGGACTCCACAACAGAATCACCGGAGGGGAACTTTGTTTTTTTGTTTTTTTTAATAAAACCTGCTAGGCGCCACAGCCTAGACGTGCTGAATCAAGAGTGTCGGGTGTCGGGGTACAATCATGTGCCGCTTGATGACCTAGCACTACACTTCAAATGTGCCTGGTGTGAGCCTTCAATTAACAACCATCCCAACCACTGGGCTAAGTGGCCTGTGTCATTTTATTGCACCTTCACGCCATCCTGAGATCTGCGTGGCCCCTGCTTTACTGAAGATGAGAGAACAGATCCATCAGCTGTAAGCAGCAGGCTGGTACACAGCCGGGTGGGGAACCATGGCAGCACTCAGAGGCAGACTGCCCGGGACCAACCTAGGTCCATTCCGTGCCCCTCCCAGGAACCTGGTGCTGCACAGCTTAGGGCAGGAGGCACTGCCGGCTCTTCCGCCGAGAGCGCGGGGGGCCGTGTGACCTAGCAGGCCTGTGGGAGGCGCCTGTGGGATGGAGGACTACTGCGTCCCTGGCAGACGGAAGAGACTGCCACGGGAGACGGGCAGCCACAACCCTCTCCGACGGGCAGGGTCTAAAATCCCTGGAGGTGAGTCAGAAAGTTCTCTGTGGCCTAGAGGAGATGGCAAAGTCCATGCTCTCTACTCAGCTCCAGTTTTTCTTGCTTTACACCAATTCCAACACCTTTAGTTCTCGACTCTCAGCAGATTCAGAGCCAGTCACTCAGAAGGCAGAGGCGGCTGTCAGAGGCCAGCAGGCAAGCTGAGAGATAATGGCAAGAAAGAGCTAGAAGAATGAGGATGGCGGTGGGAGGGTAGGGTGCATGGGGGTGGGACTCACAGGCAGAGCAGTCTTTAGCAGGCGGGAGCGCCACCTCCCTTCCTTAGTGCCTGTGCCGGGCACCATCACAGTTCAGTACAATGCTCGGGGGCTAATACTACTGTTGCTGAATCATCCAGAAAAGGTTATATTATGCCTACTATACTCTGCTTCGGCTGGGGGGAAAATGATTCATCATAAAAATAGTCAAAGCTCGAAAAAGTGCTTTGAACTTAGCTGAATTTTCCAGAAACTGAAATCTTATTCCTTCTACAATCGTGGAAAAAACAAACCATTACTCTAAGTCTCTGATGCCTGGATTACAGCAAACAGCCAAGTCATAAAGCGGTACTGCCATGGCTTGATTACGAAAGCCCGGGGCACCGGGGTCCCGCCGGAGAGGCCCTGCCGCTGAGGGGGCGCCGCCGCGCGCGCACCCAGTGGGAGCAGTGAGACTGGTAATGGCGATGTGAATACTTACAGGGACTGACATCTCTGTACCTGTTTCGGTTTTTGTTCTTAGGAAGCTTGGCCACTCTACATGGGAAGTCACTGGCTTCGTGTCGGATATCCTATAAAAAAAAAAAAAAAAGGATAGAGTTCTCTTTTGAAATCCCTGGCATCAGGAAGCCATGCAGACGTTTAACCAAGCGTGGGCTATGTGCCAGGCACTGAGAGGACCCGGGACAGAAACACACGTCCAGGAGAACTAGGCAGTGTGGGGAGCGCAAGGTGATCATTCAGAGGCACATACAAGGTCCGGAAGGGAAAACAGATAGAGGACAGCTACACCTGCAATGGGAGGATGGCGTGGGGCCGGGAGCTAGAAATACGGGGAAGAGGGCAGCGAGACCGAAAGGGGTGGCGGGGTCCTTGGCTCAGGGACACCCAGCACAGCACCGGCGAGCGCACACGTCTTCTGCAAGCGGCAGTCAGTGGGCTGGCGGGGGCAGTGACAGCTGGCTGGAGCACACAGGTGGGCCGGCCAGAGCCATGGAGAGCCTGGAACGCCACAAGCCCGGGAGCTCCCTCTGTAACCTTGTATAAAGTCACAGTTATTGAGAGCAGATAAAATGCACTTTTATGCCAACAACTGTTCAACTCCTGCTTTCCGAGGAGATGGTCGACAAATCCCATTACACCAAACTGTCAGAAAGAGGAAGTGCCTGGGTTAACAGAAGACCCAAATCATGCCTCCTGCTAGACTGATCACAGGCATCTACTTTTGCTCTTCTAAAACACCACGATAATCCCATTTAAAAATCTTTTCTTTTTAATTTGTATTTTATTCTTATTAAAAGATAAACCCATATGACAATGTGAGCATACTGAGTGCCACTAAGGTATACACCTAAAATGGTTACAGTGGTAAATTTTATTATGTGTATTTTATTACAATTTAAAAAAAAAAGACAAACTCACAAGAGAGGGCAGAACAGGAGAAGGTAGCAGCAACAGGATTTTGGAAGCTGGCCATCTTATTAGTAGTTGGCAGGTCTGAGAAAGCTCAATTACAAGCCAGCAGTGGAGAAAGCAAAGCACCAGTCCATTTCCACCACAGAATCCTGCAGAAACTCGGGAAATGCTGCTTCTGGATGGAAGGGTGGGACTCACTGCAGGGGACGGGGCTGGAGCTGTCTGAGAAGCAGCGGATCTCCCCACCGCCCCCCTTCCATGCTGCTGGGTGCTGCTGGGTGACTGCCACCCTGTACCACAGAACTCTGGAGAATCATTTTCTGCAGAATAGAAATCAGGAGACAGTGCTTTCTATGTGATCTGAGCAGACAAGAGCAAAGACCAGAAGATACTATCACCAGGGCTCACAACCAATAGCCCAGCTAAAGGGTTCATGGCCAGATCAGTGCTGATGAGACCCTTCCACCCTCTCAGAGCTCTCAATCTGCCTTGTGAGCTTCATCACGCACAGACAACCACTGATTCTAAGATGTGAGAAGAATGCCTCTAGTATAAAAGAGATTTACAAGAAAAATGAAACAGGAAAAAAGTCCCTTGGAAGAAATAAACTACACAGAAGAGAAAGCTTTAAAAAATATATTGTTAATATACTCAGTGAGATAAAAAAAAAAATTATATTGTATCTATGAATTAAGAACAAAATGTTAGGTAAAGGTAGAAGCAATCCTCCCAGAAAGTAAAGTACCCCCTATCCCCAAAAACCCACAATAGAAAATCAGGCAAAACAAAATACAAGGAAAGAAAACATTAAAAAAACAAAAATAGTTCAAGGAAATCTTCCAGACCCTCAAATGCTCAAATGATAAAAACAGACCTACATTAAGGCACATTAATATGTGATTCCAGAATCTTTCAAAGAAAATATTCCAGGGGCACCTGGATGGCTCAGTCGGTTGAGCATCAGACTTGGTTTTGACTCAGGGCATGACCTCAGGGTCGTGAGATCAAGCCCTGCGTTGGGCTCCGTGCTCCACAGGGAGTGTGCTGGAGATTCTCTCTCTGCCCCCTCCCCAGCACACACGCACATGCACTCTTTCTAAAATGAATAAATAAATCTTTCTATAAAAAAAAAGAAAAAATATTCTGTAAGTTCTTAGAAAGAAAAAATAGTTCACGTTCAAAGGATAAAGTCATCAGAATGGCTTCAGACTTTTCGAGAACGCCGAAAGCTAGACAGCAATGGAGCAATGTTTTTAGAATCTGAAGCAAGAGGATCTCTAGCCTAGAATTCTATACCCAGCCCAATTATGACCAAGTGAGAAGGGGCAGTAAGTTAACTAAGTTAACACTGCAGAGAGGCAAAGCCTCAAACACTTGACCACACCCATGCTCCCATCCTCAGCAATCCACTGGAGCATATCTTCCACCCGAGGGAAGAAATAAACCAAGAAAGAGAAAAATGTAAGATATAGTAAGGTAAAACAACAACAACAACAACAAAAAAAACCTGACACAAGAGCAAAGACAAAGGCAACTTCCCCTGAAACTGTGGAGGGAAGAGCTCCCAGGATGACAAGTATATACCAGACCTGGAAGCAAGAGGGCCAGACTGGAGCAGTAGGCCTCAAGAGATGGATGTATCAGTGACATGCCTTTGTGCACCATACCGACCATGACTGAACGAAACCACCAGAGGGAGATAAGGAAAAGACCTGAAATCCAAGAAATAGGGAATCCAGTCAAGAAAAACATAGGAAGTTTCAGGATGATAGCTATGTTTGTCAGGCCTACAGACCAAGCAACCCAGACAGAAGGAGAATGGAGGTCTCCAGAATGAAAACTGAAACAAAGAAATTACCTGAAATTGCTCTGATACTCCAGCCACGACCCACATGTGGCTCCTGAGGGCACAGGTGGCCAGTCTGAAAAGAGGTGCTGTATAAGTGTAGAAATGCATATCAGGTTGTGACAACAGTACTAAGAAACGAAATATTTTCAGTAGTATTTGTTGAAATAACATTTTGAACATACTGGGCTAAATAAACTACTACTGATCTCATCTGCTTCTTTTTACCCTTTTTCCTGTGGCCACTAGGAAAGGTGAAATCATACAGGCAGGGTGCACTGCATTCCTCCCGGCCAGTGCTGACTGACCTTGTGGAAAACTGCCCAAGAGGTTCCAAGAGGTATGGGAAGAATTAGCAACAGGCAGAAAGAAGCCTTTGCAGATGAAAGTATACAAGGCAATTATTAACTATGGGAAAACTTTAGAAAGGAAACTAGGGTACGACACCATCTGACTATGTGCATACGCAAACAATGTAAATGATGGATGTTGTTTTAACCGAAAGGTATTAACAGATTGGGAGAAGGGAAGGGGAAGCTAAGGGGAGGAAAAGCAACAAGGATGGCTGTTCAAGGAAATGAAATCCTCCACCTGCGTAAAGGTCTAAGTTAATGAATTAGAAAATAAACATTCTCCTTAGAAATATGGAGATCTATGCAAGTGAGAATCAGCAGCTCAAAGAATTGAAAATGGCCGTGAGCCAAGAGGCTGTGGCAATGGGCTGAGGCATGGACAGCACAGCACCGGCTTGTATCTTCAGCCCATCGTGGTCCTCCTTCACTGCTCAAACCACGTGCAGATTCGACAGGAAGTTTTAAAAATTGCCACATTCTGCTAATTCCACTTACTTTAAAAAACTGCAAAATGGCAGGGAGGCCTTTTTGACTCACACTAGAGGTGGGCTAATAACTTAAAAGCATGTTTATAGATGATAAACCTATCTGAGATAAGCAAAATAATCCAGCATAACACACTCATCACGTCATCTGTGGAAGAGAGTAAGCTTTCAGGGAAATGCTATACAACACAGAAAAATCACTTGAAGGAATAAAAATCTAAGGCTTAAATCTGTTGTTCTATTTGACTGGAAGCACTTAGCAACAAGTACGAATTCTGCCTTGGGAGGGGAAACAATCCGGTCAGTCCAGCTGGTGTGATTGAAGAGAAGGAAGAGATCTTCGATATGGTTAAACCACTGAACCAACAAATACTCGCTCTGAGGAAAGAAGGGCCAAAGTATCAGTAACTGTGGGCAACTGATTTTATTCAGCCAAAGGATTATATTAATATGTACTTTTTGTCACACCCCCCCCCAAAAGACAGAAAGGTAAAGAAAGTAAAACTTGGAGATGTCATTTACTAAAGATATTTAGAAAGTAAGAGGTATTCACATAATACTTTTTAAAAATTGATTTTAAAATTAAGGTAAACTCACAGAGTAAAATGCACTGATCTTACATGCAATAAGCTTTCCTAACCAACTTTAACCTACAAATATTTAAATATACCCATTTAAGTGTTTCTCTACGTTACACTGGGCTTGACGTGGGGTTTGATCTCATGACCCTGAGATCTTGACCCCAGAAGAAATCAAGAGTTGGATGCCTAACCGACTGAGCCACCCAGGTGCCCCTATCCTGCCCCTACTCATTTAACGAGGTGACAGATTATCTCCCAGTGAATACTGAATACAAAGGGCTTACATACTTACAAAGCTCTGACAAAAGAATGAATTAGGGCCCAGGGTGAATTCATTTCTGTACACATTCAGGAAAGCTCATTATCCATTATTCAAATACCTCCCAAATCCAATTAGGCCAAGTAAAACTTGGGTGAAAAGCTGACCATTTTTTGAGATGTCTTTTTTTTTTTTTTTTTTTTTAGAACACGCACAGGCATAAAAGCCAGTCCAGCCTTGCAGAAATATTTTCATGTTTATAGCAAGCACATCATTAAGTTAAGCATAGCAATTTTGGTTTTAACAGCCTTTTCTCTTCAGTCCCACAATGGGGTCAATGTCCCTTATTGGCTCCGTGGTAAATTGCATTAGTCATTTAAACTGTTCCACACATGACGAGGTAGCTAGCATGGCACCTGTCACAGCTGCGAGTCTGACAGAAGTGCCTGGGTCCTTGCCTCTCCATCCCTCCTAGCATAGGCCCAGGCCCAGGCCCAGAGGAGGACACAACCAGATTCTGTTGACGAATTCACAAATGGTCCCAAAGGCTCCCCCAAAACTCAAGAGTCTTTACCTCTATACCAAATGCTTTATTTCGTGGGATAGAAATGCTCCTGAAAGGGAGGGAGTATGTTTAAGCAAAATGTCTGATCCGATCCTATTTTCTCAATTATCTGTTACAGAATGGAAGTTACTGGAATAATAATATCATTACGATTCTGCTTTGCAATTGGGACAGAGTCTCATGACAAGATAGTACCAAAATAGCTATTAATATATGGATTCAAAGCAGAAGGGGTTATTTTTTAATGGTTCTGACAGCGTCTGTTCTACAAGTCTAAAGAAAGAAAAAACTCCAGTGGTACTCTGCATTCGCCAGGACCGAGGTGAACTACAAAGTCCCTTCACACCTTTGACATCTATACTTCCCCCAGCCCCCATTCTACAAAGGGTGGCCTAATATGTTTGTTCGAGCTGTTACCTAGTACTTTATGGAGGTCCTCGCTTGCAGAAATGGACATAGCAAGCTAGATTGAAGGGAAGTGCTGAAGTACAGTAAAGGCCGTAATTTAAAATGCAATAAGCGAGCATACAGGGGTGTGCATTTCCTGGAACTCTCGGGGCAGCTGCCAGCTGAACAGGGAGATATATATAGAAGTGGCGGGAGGGAGAGCTAGCCTAAAATTTTAAAAACCAAATCCTCAAAGTAAGGTGTAGACCAAATTTTGTTAGTTATAAATCTCATTTTAAAGGTGAACATTAAGTTTCTGTACAATAAAATATAGTATTTCTGTATACACTCTAAAAAATAGAAAATTATCCAAGTCAGAGGTTAAATGCCTTCCAAACTGAAAGCAATACTGTGTCCTTTATATATGGAAATTAGTGGAACAATATCATTTACTTTAAAAGCCTTAGGAAAATATTTTTATTTTACTCCTACCTTTATATGATCGACTTGCAAGAAATCATATACTCAATACTGTTAAACTTTAAGATAAACTACAATGTTGAGATAATAAAGAGCGAGCTCAAAATTTAGCTAACCAACACCAAGTCTGTCTGGGTTTAAGTTTTAAAATGACTGTATACTGAATTTAAAAAAAAAGATGCTAAAAAGTAAACCAAGCACCTAAGAATCTTCTGTGGTAGCTGAAAGAGAGACAGGGAAAGGAGGGAAAACTGGTCAGCATTTAAAAGACTGCCGGATGTACAATCATCTTCCCTGCCAGAGTCTGAAAAAGTGCTGAGTCTTTTTGTACACTGGTCCTGGGTGAGGTTAAGATAAGGGAGTTACAAATCACTAACAGAACAAGTATGTCCATGTGGGAAATGACATGGAAAAAAGCATAATCAAATTGCTTTACATATTCCTCACAAGTAAGGGGAGGCGGGCTGAGGGGGTATGGAATGCCCTTCACAACGTTGGCAAGGGCAACATCTGGTGGAGACGGTGGAGCCGATTCCATGCTCTCATGTACGCCCTCCTCTCGGAACACAGAAAACAATGGTCCATTAAATATAGAGAAAAGCACAAAGGCATAGCTCAGCTCAAAACCAGAATGAGAATGAATGCAAAGGAAACAAAAGCCCTCCCACTCAAAATGGCCTGTAAACACAGTACCCAAAACACAGCAGATGACTAGTTCTGAAAAAGATAACCAACGGATCGTCTAGGAAATAAGTCTATTCCACATGAAATGTATTATACACCCTGTCAGGCACTTTCAAGATAAATATATTCAAGATCACGGATAAACGAAGGAAACCTTTTTTAAAAAGATGTTATGAATAAAAACAGGGAGAAATGAAACCAGAATAAGTAGACAGGAAAGAACAAATGAGAAATCTTGGAAATTTAAAAACAAAAACAAGACACAAAACCTCAACAGAGAGGATAAATGCTAGATTGAACATAAAGGAGGAGTAAATTGAAAGCTAGGAGGGAGGAACAGAGCTTGAGAAATAGGACACAGGAGAGAGGCCACAACACACACCCAAACAGTCAGTACCCAGACACATCAGGATAAGGGTTAAGCTGCAAAATATTAAGGATAAAAATCTTCAAAACAAATTATAGTATCTTTCAGAAGCTTAATAGAGCTTTAACATTATCACTCAATTTTTAACAACTCTAAGGTTACACAGCCATTTAAAGTAAAGAACTCTTAAAAATATAGAAAGGGACCACTGTCATTGATAACCCCAAATCATTTACAAGAACAAAGCCACTTTATGTATTTGTAGTTAATAGCTATTTTTGATTCCCTAAGGTCTTATGCAGTTTCAGAACTGAAAAATTATGTTCCAGCTGCAATAATAGGACTTATTTAGAAATGGAGGATCTGACCTTTAAGAAAACTTTGTGATTGGTGAAAGCATATCAATACGGTCTTCTAACTACTAAAAAACTTTGATGCAGATAAAATTAATTTGGACACAGCATTCTGAGTTCACTAGAGTAAGCTACTACAATCTTAAATTATTTGTAGGCTAAGTAGAACGATTAACAAAGAGGTATGAAAACTGCTTTTTCAAGTGTCGCTGATTCTAAACCTTATTTTTACAGTCCTTAGTAGTATATGTTTTTTCTAAAAAATCACTTATGTTTTCTGTTAAATGTCACGACTTTCACCTTGGGCAGAAATCAATAGGCAGAAAATGAATCAGACTTACAGTAATTGATGTCAATAAAGCACACTGGAACCAGTATCTTTTTAAATGCTGAGAATCACAAAGCCATTCCTGTAAGAGAACAGTCTCAAAAGCGGAATCCACTTTCGCTTCTGTTTTGTTTATCTTCTGCTTTCCATAAGGACAGTTTAGGTACTTCAGGCCCCGGGGTGCTGGCACTTGGCCCGAGGACAGTGGTGCAGCTGACTAAGGACACAAGTAGTTGGGGGACATGAAATTGCAAGGCTTACACCTTCCCTTGGAGGGAAAGGGACTGCCAACCACCAGCTTCCTCCCTCCACAGTTAATTCCCCTCAGCCCGGAGGTCACAGGGAGGGACCTTACGAACCCACACGATATTCCCACACCCACACCGGTGGTCCCTCTGAAATTCCTGAGAGCCATGCTTATAAAACGGATTATGGTACTTCTGTGGATAATTTAGGAGGGTAAATGGGAGGAAGACACAATGTCCAAATGAAAGTAGCTTTGGTTAAGAATTTCTTAAACACCGAGAGAACAGTACAAGATCCTGGTGCCTTAACCAAGGCTTTTTTTGCATTATTATCATCGAACAAATAAATTTTCTAAATACTTTCTAAGTGTAACATGGTTTTCTATACACCACTTAGGGGATCAGGGATGAAGAAGGAAGACATTATCAATGCCCCCAAAGCATTATGAAGTGATTAGTTCTTCAGTGAGGCCACAAAAATAAAGTGATAATTTAGGGGAGAGAGGAAGCAGGTGACCAAGCTCTTCAACATAGCTTTCCAAAGAACTCCGTATAGGGATTAAGGAAGCGGGGCTTAGATGCAATATACGAGCCCCTTCAACTGAGCACTGACCACGTGGCAGGCACTAAGGATAGGAGCATGAGAAGCAGAAGTCCTGCCATCACCGAACTTCGCCAAGTTCGTCGTCCACTGGGGACGATGGCCAGATAAACCGGATGCGACCTTCCGAGCTAGGTGCTGTCACATGTAACTCCTATGAACACATCCACAACCATCCCTCTGGGTTACACAGCATTAACAATAAAACAGATTAAGGCCCACAAGCAAGGGGACATTCTACCTATGCCCCCACCCCACCATCAGGGTCTGCTCACTCTTGGAAAGGCAGAGTGAGTGGTTCAAAACCCCCAACTTCTACGGGGCTTCTTGATACTGTCTCCATAGTTCTGCCTTTTCCAGAAATGTCATATAGTTGGAATGATATCATATGTAGCCTCTGTCCACTTTTTTCTATTAGGTTGTCTTTTTCTTAATAATATGCAGTGCTCCTTATGTACTCTGGGTACAATGTCCCTTGGTGGTCATATATACTGCAAATAACTTCCTCTGCATCAGTTGGTTTTTGCTGTGTAACAAACCACCCCAAAACACAGGGCTTACAACAACTGCTTATCTGCTGGAAACCACCTTTCCAATTTATTTGTTGTACATTTAAAAACTTTTATGTATGGGAAACTAAATTTTAAGTGTGGGAGGATGATCATAAAACTGTCAATGTATTAACAGTGGAGCGGCTACTGCTAGCTGACAAGATGATGAGTGGTTTTGTATTTTCTATTGCTTTCCAATATTTCCTACAGGGAACATGCATTGCCTGTGTAATTAAAAGTTTAAAAGTAGTTTTTAAATTTGTATGCATTCCAAACTATTGACCTTTTCCTGTGCAATTTCCTCTACTGCTCCTAGCAGTAGAGTCTTTCTTCCTCAATATGGTAATACCACTTTTTTAAAAAAAACATTTACTCTTAATCTATCTGGAGTTTATTTTCCTGCTACAATTTTCAACTATGCCCATTATTGGCCATTAAGCCTCACACTGTGCTTCTGGTTCAATCAGTTTACCAGTCCCACCACACTCAGTGCAATCTTTGTGCTTGTGTATTACAGTAGCTCAAATTGTGTATTACAGGGAGCTCCTCCTCCCTCTCCCTAAGTTGAAATAGTAACAAAATGCAGCTGCATCTGATAATTCTGATTTCAGAATGAACAAATCACTATTTTTCAGAGATAGATGAACCTTTACAATTAGGTAGAGTTGTTTTTTAAGAAGATGATGTAGCCCAGACTCATTTTTTGCAACTATTTAGCAAATTTTAAAAATCAACAGGAACACAAGAGATTAAATATGGGGAATTTTAAAAACCCACAATAGTAGTTCTGTAGTTAAAATGAATACTGTTACTTTATTCTTCTGTAAGGAAAGAACGGGCAGGATGGGATGGCTCCAATACAAAAATCTCCATATTTTTCTAGTATGTATTACTATGCATATAAACTTGTAGCAAAATAAAATAATTAAAAACATTAAATTATTTCTAGTCACCATGTTCATAAGCAGTTCTGTTTAAAAAAAAAAAAAGGTAAAGCATTGTTCACCATGTCAACTCCCTGACTTCTAACTTTGGGCAAAGCAAATTTTACTTTATTATTAAGTCTATTTAATTAAAAAGCAACTCTTAGATAATATTCAGGTAGCAGTTTCTCAACAAATTAAATTAGTACATTTCCCACCTTGTCAACATATTTAGTGAGATGAGATTTTTTAGAGGTTCTCTCCCTTCCTACTCTCCACTCATAAGCCCTGGGCTTTTGGTCTTCTGCCTTCTTTGAGCTGAATACATGAAAAGCACATTCTCTACACAATGGAAAGAGGCAGTAAACCTTTGCTAATAACATACGATCAATTTTTAGAAGCTTTTTAAGGTTAGTACATGCCAAATCCTTCCTCAAGAGACTCTGCTCAATGTCTCAATGCCACACTAAAACTAAAGAGGAACCAAAATCCATATACATAGTGCTATACACAAACTGGAGTCACTATTGTTACATAAATAACTGAAGCTACTGGAGATGTAATATCCTTTAAAGATATTACAATTAGCTAGATATTCTTCCTCCCAAGGCTCACTAAATGACTAGCAGGAAAATTAATCCCAAGGGCCAAATGGATCAAACATTTTACAAAAATCAGGATAAAGAACTTTAGAAGCACTAAATCCAAGGACTTTTTTTTTTTTTAAGATTTTATTCATTTGAGAGAGAGAGACAGTGAGAGGGAGTGAGCACGAGTGGGGTGAGGGGCAGAGGGAGAAGCAGACTCCATGTCGAGCAGGGAGCCCAACGCGGGACTCGATCCCAGGAGCATGGGATCATGACCTGAGCCGAAGGCAGCCGCTTAACCGACTGAGCCACCCAGGTGCCCAATCCAGGGACATTTTTATGTAACAGCAATACATAAACTAAAAAAAAAAAAAAATCACTAAGCAGAATGTTTGTTTTCCTACTGTGCTGAAAAGCAATCTTCACAAGAATATTCAGGGCGAACAGTATAAAATTTCCCTAAGATATTCATTAGAAGACAGAATAGTTAAAAAGCCAGAACTGTAAAGTTCTCTAAAGGTTTTGCCACCCAAATATATTCCTTAAAGCAAACTCTTCCACAAGATGCCAAAAGTCGAGTTTTGACAATGACCTTCAGAATCAAAACCACCATATATCATTGTACTTGGAGCCAATTTTTGCTCTTGCATTTCAAGTTGTGCCAAGTGTCGATGAGGCAGGTAGTTAGGTCGTGGTCCCCGTCCTCAGTGAGTTCCCATTTAGCGGGGGAAGACCACCTGTGGCCACAAACAAATACGGCAGGAAGTACTGAACAGAGGGGAAATCTGTTCCGCTGAAAAACGGGAAAGGCACCAAGGTTAGCTAGTACAGGTGGGAAGAGTAAACTTGGGAGTACCTAACTGCAAAGCAGACACTTCTGGTACAGAGGAAAGAGATCTTCCTGGCCCCACTGACCAGTTGCTTCTCCTTGCAGACTTTGACTGGCGTCAACTGGAGGAAATAAATCAGACAGCTATGTCCAAGCTGTTTGCCCAGCCTGTCCCGGCACTGCTGCTTGAAAGGAAACCTTGGCACAGAGGCATGGGGTACAGAAGGGATGGCCATTCTTCCTCCAGGCAACCTGGGAAGCCTGCTGCTTGGGCCACTGACTAAGCCCCTGTTATCACACCAAGGTCAGAAGGGTCAGAAAGAAGAGTGGGCCCGCACCCCACTACAGTGACCTGTGCCTCATGTCGGTGTGCCCAGACTCCTAGGGATGCCCAGGGCACGAAGAACACTTCCTAAACTCCCTACCTCCATTCAACAGGGCTGGACAGGTTTTCTGGAAGAGATGAGAGATTAGTCTCCCCTGCTCAAGAGCAGACACTCACCAGGTCTAGCTTGTTAGGGAGCGCAACCCAATTCCTGCAGTAGGGCCCTCAGTAAGGATTTACTAGAGGAGTGTGCTAAACAGGTCAGAAAGAAGTAAGGGAGAGCTATGAATCTGGAATTAAGAGGATGACAATGGATACAAAATGACTGCAATAACAAAGTACTGATGACCCAACTAACTTTGAGAATTCTGTTCTCTCTGACCTCCTCAATACAAGGCTCATGGGTGATTTTCCAGTAATGAGTAATTTCCTGGCTAGGATACCCAGGGAATGGCTGGGTGTGAGAGAAACATTTCTTGGAAGGATGTGCCTCTTCCCCCCACCCCCACCCCTTCCCCTGCAGGCAGAGCCATTTTCTGCTGTGATACATTCCTGGAGAAGGTAAGGTAACATCCCATCCGAATGTACACCCTCCCTACAAATCTGGGATGGAGCAGGCCAATGGCTGGGATAGCAGGAAGGATCTTACATGGAGCTGCCAAGCCAGGCGGAGGAGGGACAAATTATGACATACTGGGACTCTCTGCAAACAATATTGAGGCAGGAATGGCAAGCACGGTCTTGCTAGCTCCTTGTGCCCAGCAGGGCTTGCCATGATGATCAGCTCCCAAGAAGCTGGACTCTGACTGTACTTCCAGGCTGATGGGCACCTCAGTCCGGACCCTGGAGGCTATCATCTCCTTTCCTTGATCTTTCACCTTCCTCTCCAAGGCCAAAGTAGAAGTGCTTCTGGCTTCTCCGATCCCAGAGTATTCAAGTTTTTTCTTCTTTGAAATAAGTATTTGTTATGGCGCTAGGATTTACTTCAAAACAAATCAGAGCTAGGAGGGGTTCATGGGGTAGGGTGTGGGGAGTTCAGATGAAAGGAGATGGGCTCTAAGTTTATAATTTTGAAACTAGGTGACAGATATATAAGGGCTCATTATACTAATCTAATTCTATATGTTTGATAAGTTTTCTGGAAGGAGATTCTAAAAGCTCAGTTTTTCAAAGTAAGGGGACGATATAATGAGATGTCGGTTTTTGAGTGATTACTCTGGTTTTAGGATTGGGAAGGTGGCAGCAGCAATGGCAGTTTTCCCTTCCTCCCAAGTTCCTCCACATAAGGAAACAGAGCAACATTTCTGTTGCTGACTCAGGATAGAAAGGATAGAAAACTGACTCAGACAACAACTAAAACAAAACCAGGGACAAGGCACCCGTATGATCCTGAAAGTATAAGGACTTGGGGACAAGCCACTCACTGAGACCCACGTGGCATCAGCATTTGTGTGGGAGGAAGGTGAATCAAGACCACAGGTGATTCTGACAACTCTGAGATCGGAAGAACCCCCCCAATCAGCAGCAGGTGCTCACTGCCAAGTGTGATGGCCAATCTGTGTTCTAAGCCGAACCGCAGATCCTGCAGGCTCCAGATCACGGGCAAGGCCAGGCTCTTCCGCCACCCAACGTGCTGGGGCATTCCGGGCCCTATAAAATCTCAACAACTGAGCAAAGAAAGGCCCTCCTAGGACAAAGCCCTGCACTGAGGAGAAACTTCTAGGAGCAGAACAAATTGAGCAAACACGGGCAATAGGGGGCTAAGGAGAGGGGAGGCTGCAATAAAGTTAGTCTGATGGGAGAAACAGGGGAAGCCCATCTTAGAAAGTACAAGGTCATTTTAAAATAACTTCACAAACACATCTGAAGAGGGAGCCGGAGAGCACTAAGCTAGACTATCTATCTGACCCACCCCTTCTTCCTAAAACTACAAGGAAACTGTCCACTTAAAAATGATGCGAAGACAAGGAGCAGTTGAGTTCCACACAGCATTATTCTATGAAAGATAGTAAGGGACACAGCAGTATCTTTACAGGAAATAAAAGCCAGATAGAAAGATGACCACGACAGATGAAAACTCATCTGACTAGCAACCAGAAATTAAGAAAATGGTAGAAGCTATGGAAGAACAATATAGACAAGAATGAGACATCAAGAATCAAGGTCACTGGAAAAAAAGAATGATCTGAAAAGAGAAGTAAGAGAAATAAGGAAAGAACTAAAAATAAAAGGAAAATATATTTTCAGAAATGAAGACAAAACGAGGATCATGAGCGCAAATAAACATGTTAATGCCTTTTAGAAGCAAAATAAGGGGGAGTTAAAAAATTTTTTAAAGAAATAAACAGAAATAGGTTCCTTGTACTATCAATTGTAATTTTTTGAAATCCTATTAATCCTATTTAATATTTTTTTAATTAAAAAGACTTCTTTAGAGGGTACACGTGGGAGAGGGAGAGAGAATCTCAAGCAGACTCTGTGTGGCTCGAGGCAGGGCTCGATCTCACAACCTTGAGATTATGACCTGAGCCAAAACCAAGAGTCAAACACTTAACCGACTACACGGCCCAGGTGCCCCATAGTTAAATTTTAAAATTTTTGAGAGAAAGTGAAAGAAACAGATGACAGGCAAAGAAGATCAAACACAGACATAACAGGCTGAGTCCCTGAAAAAGGAAACCAAAGCAATGTAAGAAAAGAAATACTGAAAACTCTAAATCAAGACTTTACTAAGGTTAAAAAAAAAAAAAAGAAAAAGAAAAGGTCTGAAACTCTTCACTGAAAGATACATTGATTTTTGGAGGAGAATGACTGAAAATGGCAACCACAGCATGGTTTAATAAATGATCAGACTTTGAAATAAAAGGATAAAAAAATCCTTTGAGAATCTAGCAAAAAGACCCAGTAACTTTTAAGGGAAACATAATTAGGATGTCAAACATCCACAGCAATGCTTTGTACCAGAAGATAATGGAGTAACGTATTTAAATTACTTAAGGGAAAAAAAAAATGTGATCCAAAGATTTTTATATTCAGGCAAAGTGGCCTTCAAATTTAAAGGCTGTTAAGAACATGCACCATCAATTCAAAGACTACTGTTCCATAATCTTTCCTGAGAAATCTGGTAGAGAGTGAGCATCAGGCAACCAAAATGACAAGGGAGACCCTGGGAAGAATGGGAAGTCAGCTTTAGTGTTTACTAGTCGATTTAAGACACAAGGAAGGGGTGCCTGGGTGGCTCAGTTGGTTAAGCGACTGCCTTCGGCTCAGGTCATGATCCTGGAGTCCTAGGATTGAGTCCCGCATCAGGCTTCCTGCTCAGCGGGGAGTCTGCTTCTCCCTCTGACCCTCTTCCCTCTCGTGCTTTCTATCTCTCATTCTCTCTCTCTCTCAAATAAATAAATAAAATCTTAAAAAAAAAAAAAAAAAAAGACACAAGGAAGGTGGTAAGGAGACCACGCACTGTGTAATAACGTAGAGTACAACTACCAAACGGGAGTATGGGAGGCAGAACGGAGGAAAGAGTTTTTAATCTTGCTGATGGGTTCTATGGATATCTATGACTGAGAATCTTCAAGTATCAACTGAGAGTAGCTCAAATAAGATCCTGGGGAAGAAGGAAGGGAACAGGAATAAATGGCCACTAGGTAACGTCAGTACGGCTCAAAGAAGGCCATCACAGTAACAGCCAAACATGGAGGGCAATAAGGGTACACGATAAAGCAGAAGGAATCCTTAGAAAATATAAACATTCTTAAACACCAAAAGACTTAACCATCTATAAAGTTCCTTCTCAAAAATTATAAAAATAACGTGGCCAGAGCAGAGAATACAAAGATGTAACAAAAATCTTAATCAAGGTTAACAGTCTAGTCAGTGTCCACTCCTCCCAACTTTTCTCCAAACACATGCAAACATAAATCATGAACGCTTACTGCTTGCTTTTTACACAAACAGGCTCACACTATACATGTTATCCTATAATATAATCTCGTAATCCAGCCATCTAACCTGCCTTCATTTAGTTTTTAAACTGGATTTTCTAAGTATTCAATCACATTAGCAAATACACTAAATCTGCCTCTCCCAATACTTTCACAATAATTTAATTTTCTTATCTTATTACTTTACCTAGAACCTCCAAAATAATGTTCAATGAAAGCTGGATTAAGTTAAAAATAACTTCAGCATTTTACAAGTTAGGTTTGAGATATAAGTTCGCCTATTTAAGTAGCTTCCTTCTATTCCTATGTTTTACATTTTACTTTATAGTTACATTTTAATTGTTAAGAGCTGCTAAGTAAGGCCACTTAGAATTGAACAGTTATTTTTTTATCAGGGAGAGTCTAACCTCCACAGATGCTATTCTGGACAGAAAGAGCTCCCTGCCTTCTCTCACTGTCCAAACTCTAACCTCACAATCATACCTAACTAGTTTTTCTCTTTGGGCCTTTTCCATTTGCTTGGATAAAGTCCCTTGACAGTTATCTCCTGCTTTTAATTTTTCTCCAGCCGACTATCTGCTCGATGTGCTTTGGAGCTATCCCATGCAACTGGACAGCAGCATCAACCACCCTGGCTTCTCTCCTGCTCTCTTCATGATTTCTGAACTCAGTCACTCTAAAACAACTTCCTTTTCACACATCTACTGTTTCTTTCGTTTTTATGTGCCCAAATTGAAAACTTCTCATTTAGAAAATCCAAGCACGACTGAAAAACCAGATCACATATGAAAACCGTATGACCACTGAAAATCAACTGCCCACGTGTGTAACAACCAGGGTGGTGCATATCTTCTTGGTTATCTGTCCCACAGAGTGGTAGTCATGGAATAGTCAGATGATCTGTTATCACCTGAGAATATTCATTCAAGAGTAAGAGCAAAGATCTCAAAGCCTCCTTTGTTACTGGTACTGCCCCTATATGTTTACTCTTCTACTTACTGTGCTTTTTTTTAAATTACAGGCAACTTGACATTTTTATCACTGTCAGGCCTTTTTCAGACATTGTTAATACTTCAGTCCATTCTGAATGGCACTAAGTGGTTCTCTCTTGGTTAGAAACAATCCAGAGTATCCTTCAGCAGCCAGGTCAGAAACTATAAACTAGCTAAACGGTCTATAAACAACCAGTAGACTGGTGAAGTACATTCAGACTGACAATTCTGTTTTCAATCTATTTCTCTTACAGGTAGGTAGCTGCTTTCTTAAACAGGTTTAGAGAAAACACATAGGGGCATGACAGGGATATATGATTAGGGGAGGGGATGCTTCTTCAGGGCAGAATGAAAAAAAAACCCTATAATTAAAGCATCAAAAATAGTATTACTAATACAAGAGTCTATGGAAAACAAACAATACAAATGAATACAAGTAAAACTGAGGAAATCTGAATAAGATGGGCAAATTATATCAATGTCACAATCCTGGTTGTGATACTGTACTACTTTTGCATAATGTTACCATGGGGGGCACTGGACAAAGTGTACAATGGATTTCTGTATTACCTCTTGCAACTGCTTATGAATTTACAATTATCGCCATAAAAATTTCAATTAAAAATATAATTGACAGGAGCACATCGCTGGCTCAGTCGGTAGAACATGTGACTCTTGATCTCAGGGTCATAAGTTCAAGCGCCATGTTGGGTGTAGAGATCCCTTAAAAATAAAATATTAGAGGGGCACTTGGATGGCTCCAGTCGATTAAGTATCTGCCTTCAGCTCAGGTCATGATCTCGGGGTCCTGGGATCCAGCCTCACATCAGGTTCCCTGCTCAGCAGAGAATCTGCTTCTCCCACTTCCTCTGTCCTCCCTCCCATTTGTGCGTGCTTGCTCACTCTCTCTAAATAAATAAAAAAAAACTTTAAAAAAATAAAATCTTAGGGGCACCTGGGTAGCTAAGCTGGTTGAGCATCCAACTCTTGATTTCAGCTCAGGTCATGATCTCAGGGCAGTGAGATTAAGCCCCAAGTCAGGCTCCATGCTCAGAGGGGAACCTGCTTAGGATTCTCTCTCCCTCTCCCTTTGCCCCTCCCCCCATGCTCACACTTTCTCTCGCTTGTGCTTGCAGGCTCTCTCTAAAATAAATAAATCTTTAAAAAAAATAAAATCCTAAAAAAATGATTGGCAGAATACAGACAAAACGTTTATAGTACTTACATTGTATAGTGACAGGGACAAAGCAAATTTTTATTCTTTGTTTTCACTTTACAATGAAATACAGTATAAATTAGAAATATAAGAATTCTTAAAAAGGTTGAAAGGATATAATCAAGACTTTGGACATTTAAAAAATATTTTATAAAATCTCAAGGAATAGGAGGAAAGTAAATACAAGACTGTTCAACCAAC